GGATAAATTGGTTTATCTAAAAGCTAGAATAAGCTATGTGGGCTCAACATAGGACCAATTACTATATATCTATAGTTGTACAGCTTCAAAAATAAGCTTGACCTGAAAAATTGATACTCCAACCGTACAAAGGTTTATTTTAGTATCTAAGACGAAGATCTAACGTGTCTTGACAAAAAACTTTTAAGCAATAGTTTTAAATCATTCCCATGCCACCGTGTTAAGATATTTCCTTGAATGAAACTGATGGGTAGACTCAGAAACCAAACATAGTTGTAAATATGGGTTTGTGAAGAATGATGAATAATATTGAAATTGCAAAACAATGTGAGACAACCATTGAAAATGTAGAAGCACTAGACGGATGTTTCGCTTAATTGTGGAACTTTTTAACAAAGTGCATTCACGAACCTGAATTAAACCAATGACCTATGGTCTCGATAATGAATACTTAACCTCTAGATTACTGAGCTGGAATCCAACTTTGTCTGATATCAATAAATTCATAAATTCAGTATTATTTTTCTAGCATTAAGATTATCAAAGATGTCGAGTACTTAAGAAACTTTGACAAATCGTACTATGCGATAAAATTTTCAAAACTGTTCGACTGCAGCCTAATTAAACAACAAACTGTATTACGACCTATGATGCATTTTTTGTTATGAATTGACATTTTCAGTAATAATTGGTTAAGAAATTAACAGTACTGCAAAGTTGTTCTTCATTCCTTTAAAACTTTTACAACAGATGATAATAATTCTTGATTTTCAATGGTTTTGTTAAGTGATTTTAGTGTTAAAAACCATTATCGATGATTGAACAACTCTCAAATCAATCAACATATACCCTTCAATCAAACTATTATAATTAGGTCATCAGTGACTTTACGATGTTTTTAAAGTTCTAGTGACTATTCATCGTTGGTGTGAAACAGTTGTCATCAGTGTATCATAAGAATCCGATACAGTCCTGGTGATTATCCATTCAATAAGAACGTGGAGTTCCTAGTTTTTGTACCTGGCGAGGTATACGGTGCTTAGGATTTTCATACTATGACAAAATAACTGTCCGATTCTCTCCGGTTTTCAAAATAACTCCAAACTGAAATCAATCCATAGCAAATACAGTTTACATTTACATATCAGTTTATTTATACACATTGATGAAAAGCAATAAAATTGAATTTAAAAAGCTTTCTCAATTATTTTCCAAAATTTGTATTGATATAGTTTGATTAGTTATCATTACTTCATACCTTTCCTTCTAATTCTTTCTTCCTGTGATGTGTCCTTATATGCAATCTTTCTTTTATATATTACCACCACTGAATTAAATGCTTCTATGAATCCAGTGTTCGTCTTGCTGTGCTAATGTGGTATGGCAACTTTGGCTGATGTATATATGTGCATGGTTTCACGTTGTATCTGACTGACTGAAGCACCTTTTCATTCAATTGAATATCAATTAAGATTTACTAATTTTCTACATTTCCAAACAATGCACAAGGTAACACTCCATAATCTGTGTTACATTTTTGTCCCGTTCGTAATAGAATAGTTTCCATCATTTTTATTTTTCTCCTATCTGATTAGATCTGAATAGATTGAACTCGTTTGGAATTTTGAAATTTGACCAGTTACTTGTCATATTGTTAGATCTTTAGTACTTGAAATGCAACATATTTTGCTCCCGTACTGTAACTTTATTTAGGAAGATCTTTGCGTTCTTGTAAACTTTCACCGTCGTTCAAAAACTTAAGACGCATCACTAAATCTCACATTGAATCAACAAAATTACTCATTACGCGACTAAAGGATGAAGCCAGTGCTTTTGGTAAAGTGATTAATGATTTAAACATCGTATGTCGGATAAAATTTATGAATTTTATTCGTAATCTTCAAATCAAGGTTTGCAAGGATTTCCATAAATCTCTGTCGAAAACTCTGATAAGAGAACATTTATGTTTAGGGTTTCCGGAAAACCCTTCGAAGTTTATCTACAACTTATCAAATATAAAGCTTAATAATATAGAAGCAGAAGCCTTATCACTGGGACTAAAATTTCATGTACCAAAAACAAATACTGACAGGATCGATACAGAAGCTCAATTCGAAAGTCTGTTTGACCAGTTAAAGGATTTGCAGTCAATGAATGAGGAAAAGAAAGGATGGTTCAAATCAAAGTTAGTTGATATTGCAAACCAATACTTCGTGTCATCGACACCAAAGTCTAACCTTCTATCCAGAGAACATCTGACAGCCCTAAGAAACATCAAACAAAACAATGAGGTGATGATTTTACGACCGGATAAAGGTTCAGGAGTCGTCCTAATGAATACAGCTGATTATGTCACTAAGATGAAGCAAATCCTTGACGATCAACTGAGATTCAAGGTAAATAAATCCCAAAAAGATTTAACTGATTCAACAGAAAAACGAATCAATGGCATGCTTAGAGAACTTCTAAAAAGGAAAATGATAGGTAATTCTACTTATAATGATCTAAAACCACGTGGGTCACGTCTGCCTCATATGTATGGTTTACCAAAAGTTCACAAGCACGACGTTCCCCTTAGACCTATCCTATCAATGATAAACTCACCGTATCACAAAGTTGCACGCTGGCTAGCAGAAAAACTAGAACCGGTTCATCGAAGATTAGCAACATATACGTTAAAAGATCCATTCCAGTTTGCTGATAGACTAAATCGTACGAATGTTGCCGATAAGTTCATGGTTTCTTTTGATGTAACATCCTTGTTCACCAATATACCACTTCTTGAAACTATTGATATAATTTGTCAGAATTATGATCTCCTACCTTTACCAGCCCCGGAATTCAAAAAACTACTATTAATGTGCACAACAGACGTTCAATTCCAGTTTAATAACACCATATATCGTCAGATCGACAGCGTAGCAATGGGAAGCCCACTAGGTCCAATTCTGGCAAATATTTTTATGGGGTCTCTTGAAAACATGGTGCTTAAACAGACGATTAGCAAAACGACGGAATATTCTTGATACGTTGATGACACGTTTATTGTCTGTAACAATAAACAGCATGCAATCCGCATGCTAAAACACTTCAATAACGCTCATCCTAACATACAATTTACTATGGAACACGAACAGAATGACATGTTCCACTTTCTTGATGTTGCTATAAAACGTAGGAGAGACGGTACAGTCCAACGTTCGATTTATCGAAAAAGTACCTGTAATGGCATTTACCTGAATTTCAATAGCTTTTGTCCACTCAGTTACAAGAAGGCATTAGTTAAAACACTATTTTATAGGGCAGAAAAGATATGTACCATTGACAAACTCGAAGAAGAATTGATGAAAGTGGAAAAATGCCTGCGAGACAACTTTTACCCACAAAAGTTTATTGACAAGTATAAGAAGCGTGAAGAAAACAATACTGAAGTAATTACTGTCAATAAAAAACCAATAACTATAAGTCTTAACTTCAAAGGTGACGAGGTTGCGAACACAATCAACAGGAAACTCAATACTGCGCTAGCCAGAACTTATCCGGCAGCCAAACTTCAAATTCTGTATAAAACAACATGCTCAATAACTCAATCAAAAGTTGATAAGCATCCTTTTCATGTTACCGCCAATTGTATTTATAAATTTACGTGTACCTGCCAAAGCAGCTACATTGGCCGAACAGAAAGGAGGGCATATCTCAGATTTTTTGAACATGTTCCAAAAAGCCTCAGAACAAGAGAAATAAAGACTCTAGACAGTGCAATCACCAAACATCTCCTTGATACAGGACATCAGGTCGATACCCTACAATCATTCAAGGTGATTAGTAAGCAGCCAAACTCCATTCTTCTGAAGTTTGCTGAAGCAGTTGCTATCAGGCGCCAAAAGCCTTATTTATATGTTCAAAAGGAGATGGTTATTAATCTTTCCTTGCCTTGGTGATTAATATCCCTTTGTTATATCTTAATAATTTTTTTTTCTTTTTCTTTAAACTCTTTCTTGCATTTATTACACCATTATTTTATCAACTGAACTCTACTCATTTTATTCCTATCAAAGTTTATTTGTTTCTAACCGTTTGAACTGTTATCACAATGTTCTTTCATCACATAAGGTATATATTTACGATATTCAGTCTATTAAATTTATTTACACCCTTGCTATACTATATGAATATGTCTTTAATATAACTTCCAATCAAACTCTTTTATGTAAGTAATTTAAACCCATTAATTATGATTTTAAATATCACAGGTTGTAAGCAGCTGACGAGAACCAACGAAATAAAAATGAATTCATGCTATTCTGCTAGAATGTTTGTTCTTGCTCTTTTCAAAATGAAATGATTCTTGATTGTGAATCAAACTTAAACTTATTCAGGGATGAAAACAAGCTAACTGATATTTTCTTGTGAATTATTGCTTATGAAAATTTGGTTAAACTAATGATTGGTGTTTTTTGTTCTTTCTTTCTATCTAATCATCCATCTGTTTATCATTTTGGCACAAAAATGCATCAACAATATCGTTAATTACATCAGCTTTAGTTGGGTAATGTTTTAATTTGCCTTCAACGTATTGATTTTGTTGAAACTTAGAAATTGAATTTAATTCATTGATCGATATACTTAAGCTGTGAGAATTGTTTCCATGTTGTCGTATTATAATATTTTCCGAATTTAAAACATTCCTAACATGCCTAACTTAATGACTGAACATTGCAAGTATACTTTGATGGAGTTCGTTCTTCTGAACGCAAGCTCCACGACCAAACCATCCAACTCAGAGAACAAAACTCCACCGAAATCATCCACCTGAGCTACAAATCTTCTCCAACATTGCAAGTATATATTTTTATAATAGATAATGCATCTATCAGTTTTAATCTAAAACCCAGATAATTATTCACATTGACTAGGAATGAAATAATTGAGAGGATATGTACATCATCCAGACATTTATGTGTAAAACTTCTCATCTCTGTTTACCTTTTTTTTAATAGTTGATATTGAAGAAATTCATGAAGTACAACTAGGCTGTTCCTCAAGAACTACACATTCCCTCGGTCGACGACGTCCACTTAGTATGACTCCAACATTATCACATGGGTTCTTATCTTCAAGTGGATCAGGTAGCCTGATTCAATCAGCATCAAAAATGTATTCATCAAACAATTCAAATTCTCTAACTATTGGTTCAGTATCACCACAAATTCAAAGTTCAACATCGTTAACTTCAACAATACTTAATCTTAGTTCTAGTGCATTTACAATATGTTATGGACCGGATTTTACTGTATTAGAAATTTTAGCTTCTGGTCCAGAAGAAGCAAATATTTGGGTGACTGGATTAAAGTGTCTAATGGCTGGTGCTCAAGGTTAGACAGATATATTTTGTTTTTATATCACCAATTTTTACTATTTTATATCTTATTTATTATTGAATACTGTCACTACTATGACGAATTGAATCAATACGATAATAAAAACCATTTTTTAAAAGTTGAATTCACGAGTTATTCTAAGCTAGATCACCATTGAAAACATGGAATTATTGAACGGCCGTTCGCGCAAGATCATGGATCGATTGAAGCTAGACATTAACACAAGTGGATAACGGTTCAGTGGTCTAAAGGTTAAGCGAGGCCGAAGGTCCTGAGTTCGAGTCTCACGTGCAGAGTTGTGGATGAACACTATTGAGGAGTCTTATACTAGAACGAAACGGCCGTCCAGCACATCAAGGGCTTGAGTGGTGGTCTAGCTTAGATACGCTCGTGAATTCAACTCTGAAAATACTACAATCCCCACAAAGAACCATTTTGTAAGAATAACATATCAGTATATATATCAGTATATATTCTTCATAACTCATATTTCACTGAACTTTAAGCCTTCCCAACCATATAGGTCTCTGTTCACATAAATATGCATCTCTTATCATAAATTCATTTATTTGCTTTTGGTTCGTTAGTTCTATATACTTCTACATATTCAAAAAGCCTTTCCCAAACAGTCTCGAATTTAACTAATGAGAAAATTGAAACATACTACTAAAATGATTTTGTACATTTTACTCTCCCTCTAACCTTTACAGAAAACAATAACCGCTTTCCTATTACCTACTGTTTAAACTACAACTAACATTGATACTTATAGTTAATAAATGAAACTCTAAATTCAAAATAAAATAAAAACAATATAATACAATTTGGAAAATTATTGAAAAGATTAATACATTAATTAAGAAGTATATTTAAGATTGAATAGATTCTTACTGATCAAATAAAAGGGATATCAGATTAGAAACTTCTACCAAGACTTCTCAAACATTTTTATGAAAAGCCATGATTGATTTAGTTCAACTGTATCTATAACGAGTAAGGCTATCATTAAAGCTAATAAATAATGAGAAATAAATACAGCAATAATCCAGAAGAAAATATCAGTTAGCTTATTTTCATCCCTGAATAAGTCTAAGTTTGATTCAGGATCACTCTTAAATAAAGTTATAGTACGGGAGTAAAATATGTTGAATTTCAAGTACTAAAGATCTAACAATATGATAAGTAACTGGTCGAATTTTAAAGTTCGAAACGAGTTCAATCTATTTCAAATCTAATCAGATAGGAGAAAAATAAAAATGATGGAAACTATTCCATCACAAAAGGGACAAAAATGTAACGCAGATTATGAACTGTTACGTTGTGCATTGTTTAGAAATGTAGAAAATTAATAAATCTTAAGTGATATTGAATTAGATGAAAAAGGTACTTCAGTCAGTCAGATACAACGTGAAATCATGCACATATATACATCAGTCCAAGTTGCCATACTTCATTAACATAGCAAGACGAACACTGGATTCATAGAAGCATTTAATTCAGTGATGGTAATATATAAAAGAAAGATTACATATAAGGACACATTACAGGAAAAAAGAATTTGTTCGTAGAAATAAAGATATGAAGCGATTTTAATCTCTCGGTTTAACGGAAGGCATAGAGTGGATACACCTACGCCATTGTGGTCGATTCTGAGCTGCGTCAATCATTGGTTACGATAGTCAAGCGGACCCCAACCAAGCAGTCTGTATCTACCAACTTGGCTCAGACTAGAAGTTAGTGACTTCAAGCACTGATGCTGCGTTTTGGTTTGGCCTTCTCCAACATTCTTCCAACCATCTCCAACACTAGTCAGCATTGCTCATTGTGGTAATCGGTGTTCAGGCATACGCAACACATGTCCCAACCATCTCAGTCGATGAGGATTCACAACCTCATCAACTAATCTACCATTATCCCCCAATACCCTATGTCTAACCTCACTACTACTTACCCAATAATCCCAGCAGATGGGAGCAATATTTCTAAGACATCTGTGGTCAGATACTAGTAAATTACAAGTATGCTATACTCTCATTGCCCACGTTTCGCAACCATAACGTAGAACAGAACGAACTTCTGCGTAGTATAGTCGTCCTTCAATTGATAGACGGATATCTCTCCTTCGTCATAGGTGATATAATTTTGCAAAAGCCAAACAAGATTTTTGAATCCATGCTGAGATTTTTTCAAACACCAACCGATTAGAGCTGATCAGACTTCCAAGATAAGTGAAGTTGTCAACGCGTTCGACTACTTCACTCCCTATCCTTAGTTCATGTGTCAACACAGGCCAGTCCTGAGTAGGAGAAGCGGATTCCAAACATTCCAGCATTGTTGCTTAGTGCTACCAAAAGACTCTACATTTTATTAGCAACTTCATCAAAAATGGAGAAAGTAGACAGCCTTGACAGAAATCACTTGAGATTGCAAAAACAGATGACAGTTTTCAGTAATGTTATCACATTCGAACATATGCTGTTATTTAGATTTTCAATCTATATCTTCAGAAAATAATATTCTACTAAGTAGAAAACAAAGAGAACCCAATAAAGAATCAGGCCATAATATGAAAAACACTTAAACTCACAAATATTCAAATCTAAAAACATGATCTTTAATTCAGTTGGATTAGAAAGGAAATTATTTATGATCAAATTATGATAATCAATCTGACTATTCAATAGTAAACCTTTTACCTTTTGAAACACTCAATATACATATATGTATATGCATATTCAAACCATTCAATTCGAATGTTCTACTCATTTAATACTGAACTAATTAACAAAATGATCCAAATGCATAATTCATCATAAAAACTAGGTCACCATTAATAACATATCAAAATGTCAGTAAATATCTTTCTGTATAAACAATGATAAAAATGGTTTAATTTTTTCATATATAATCACATTTATTCGCTTGAATAGTCTGGGTTGATAAATACTAAACTTTTGTTTGTTAACTTAGTTTCTTAGTCGGTTAGACTATTATCACAATGCTTAATGGTACATAATCCATTCCCTAATGGGGTGTTGTTTACGAAAAAGAGAGGACGAAAAGCGAATCTCCGGCGCTTTAACCAGATCTCAAACCAATGGTGCACATGGGCTCCAGTATCCTGAGTGAACGAATGGCGTATGAACCAATCGTTGGTCACCGGCTACCATGGGAATGCATCTCCTCACGATGCTCCACCACCTTGTGGATCAGACCTTTAGGTCAAAGGCTCGGGGTGTGGCCCCCTAAGAAAACCACCTGCTTCAGTCTGGGCACTCGGGCAGTATCACAGCCCACACACACACAAATATGGTGTGGCGCATATATATTTGGTGCCTTCTTGTACCAAATTTATGTGTTGAAATAAATAATAATAAATAGTAATGGGGTGAAACAACTATCCACTACTTTATAGTTTATAATGGTTGTTTACCTAAAGTAAATTCATGGTGTCAGTTTACATTAGTGAATAGCCAAAAACATTAAGTAGTAGATAAACAAATAAACAACAATTTTAAAACATTGTGAATATTGATAAATAATTTGTAAACTTACTTATTTCTTTAATCATAGATCCACAAGTGTTAGAAGATAGACAGAAACCACGTGACAGGTTAGTCAGAGATTATATACATATATATATACATATTTGTTTACATAGTTATCCTTGTTGTTGAGCCACATTTAACTTGTGCATTATATTCGCTTATCTTAATCAGTTTACCACTTACTAATTATAGTTACTTTTTTTTTTGGTTTTTATTTTATACCAAGTGAACAGGATTGATGTGTGTTTTTAAAAAGCAAAAAAAAATTAAAATGTACATTTTAATGATTCTGTTTATGGATATACCCACCCACGCACACACCAGCACCCATTTGATTCTTTCATGTCATTAGTGATTAGTAAACTCCATTCAACAAAGAGAATCATTTTCAATGTATCCCTTACGAAATCGTATACATATATAAGGTATTAAACAGATGCTTCCATTACTAACTTTAAACAATATGTATACATAATGTTATGTAATATATAACGTGAATAATAACAATGTACTCTATAGGATAAGTAAAGATTAACTAAAATTTGTAACTAAAGTGATACTAATTAAAATGATCATTATTATTATACTTTATTCTATCAATTAAAATATGAACTAATTAATGAGTTTAATATGAAAATAATTAGAAGGGGAAAGTGTAGGACCATACTTCATGTAATGTGGGTAAAATTTCATAATTCCAATACTGAGAGAAATAAACGTATTGGCAGTTGTTCTAGGAATTTGTACATTCGGGCTCGTGAGCACCTCCCGGTGTGGTTAAGCAAAGGTGCTGTCAAAACTTTTAACAGCTCCATCTTAGACCATTTAGTCCAAACAGGACATACAGTCAACATGGAGCAATCTTTTGCAATAGTCTATCGTGTCAATACCAGTCTACCTAATTCCGTCAGACTGCGAATCTTACAGACGGCTGAAGTAATTGCTATTCGGATGAAAAAGCCGGAGCTTTGTATCCAAAAGAAGTATGTTCAGCCACTTCCTGGCCAACTAGCTAATAATCAATCTTATAATGTGGTGACGTAATCTGATTAATGTTCATTTTATGTCCCAAACTTATTATTATTATTACTATTATTGTCTTTGCACTTGATAACCCCTTTTTGAGGAATTTATTCACTATCCACCCCTGAATCTAATTGTTTTACATATTACGCAATTTCCGATTTGTAATCACAATATTCTCTCTCTCTCTTTCTTACTCCATGTTGACCATATTTATTCTGATCATTATTTATCTGGAGGGGTTTGTGGAGAATTTAGAAATTTTCACAGTTTGAAATCATGAGTCAGTTGAAGCTAGACCACCATTGAAAACCTGGAAGCACTGGACGGCCGTTTCGTCCTAGTATGGGACTCCTCAGCAGTGCGCATCCATTATTATCTCACAATTTTATTTCGCTTATAAACTGATTCAAGTTAACACTTCATATTAGTCAGCCCCAACATTAACGATTTTATTTATATAACAAACAACAATTCCTGATTCATATATTACAATTTCCAAATGATGTATTTTGCCTTAAATTTGACCAATTTTATGGATTATTCATTTGGATATGATAATTGTAGAACCTGATGAGAAATTCATTGAAAAGAATATTCTTCGTTCATACAATTGTGTCTTAAACATAAAAAACAAAAACAAAAATAATATTGGAATTGGATAATAGTAATTAGTTGAATCATAGATGCCCGTTTTGTTCAATTCAGAACTCATCAGACTCGTACAAACAAAGTAGCATTAATAATAATAATGGATGAAAGCCAAATTAAAGACAATTATTCTTCGCGTTACGTTATCGAATGTGATGGTTGGGAAATATGTTACGTATGCCTTACTACCACCTAAATTGACGAGTGATATTTTCTAGTGTAATGGTACGATGGGAGAAAGTTAAGGGTAGCCGAACAAAAACGTGTAATTTGCTTATGAATTCATTGACGTTTGGTCTAAGATACATTGGTAGACGCAAACTGTCTGTCTGGTTTTCATGTGGTAACTTCGATCAATAGTTGAAGTCTTTGAATGATATTGCTCAGAATCGTGCACATATACATTTACTCTTCATTTTACTCACAATCTCGAACTCCAATATTTTTATATAGACGTTTTCACTACCTTTTTACATCATATTCTCACGGTTTAGTCATTCTTTTTATTATTGCTACTATATCATCTCGATTTTCTTTGTTGTTTTCATCTAGTCTTGTTAATCAGTTGAGGTAACTTGAGTCAAGAACATTTGTGCCAATTTATATATATATATATATATATATATATATATATATATATATATATATATATATATATATATTGATATCCATCTACTTATTATAAAACCTAAGAAGTAGGCTATAATAAACCTGATGAATATGTTTTCCACAGTTATGTAAAAAAAGATCTGTAAGTCAGTCAGTCAGTCAATAACAACGTAGAACTTCGTACGTACGTACATCAGTTCAAGTTGCCATACCACATTAGCACAGAAATGCAGTTGTCGACTCAAATCACGTAGCTGTAGAGGTAGTAAGAGTATCGAAAACATTAGGGTTTGAAGATGTTATTCATGGAGTATAATCCTGTGAAATAAATTTGGAAAGGAAAAAAAATGGACATAGAGAATTCAGATTAGAATTTGTGAGAACACAAAGAGTGGATGCACCTCCGTTATTGTAAACGATTTTGAGCCATGTCATTCAAGGTCTATAACCATCGGTTGCTATCGTCTCTTGGATCCTAACCAAGTAGTCTACACATACCGACATGGCTCAATCCACTTGTCAGCGACTTCATGGACATATGCCATGTTTTGGTCTGGCCGCCCCTAACTTTCTTCAGACCTACACTATTCGACACCATAAAACATCGCACGTCGGGGCAGTCGGTGGTTGGGCATACATTACACATGTCCCAAGCTATCCACACCAGGAGGTGCTCACGAGCCCCAATGTACAAATTCCTAGAACATCTGCCAATATGTTTATTTCTTTCAGTATTGGAAATATGAAATGTTATCCACATTACTTGAAGTATGGTCCTACACTTTCCACTTCTAATTACTTTCATATTAAACTTATTTCCTCTTCTCAAATAGGCTATTAATCATGTTCTATATCAAAACTAAATCTATTGTAATAACTTCCAGGCATTAAAATTGGAACTTTCAGTTTCTCCAGTGAATCTTTAAACTTTAAACAACTAAATTGAAATTCATTTGATGACATTTTCAACTTCAACCAATTCATGATATATAGTGCAAATATCATCAATTGTTAAAATCTTGTAGTTAATCAAACATAATCCTTCAAAGAATATGTCAATCAAATGATTGTGACACATATTAAATATATAAAAAAAGAATATTAGAACAAATGAGAAAAAACAATGACAACAAGAAGCTAATTTCAGATAGTGCAAATAGATATGTTGAATGGATCCATTATTATCCATTTATTATCATCATCATCATCACAAAATCTCAATTTCAAATATTATGTTTACGTTATATCCCGTCGCAAATTGTTATAACTTCTGAACCTGTGTGCCCTGTTTATTGTATAACGCAACGATACCTCCAATCAGAGAGCAGAGAATTGCCGAACGAACTAGCGACGCATAAAACGCATGCGAGCAGCCTAGAGTCCTGATTGGTCTTACCCCCTGTCTAGCTCAGCCAGTTAAGTCCAGAACACAAATCTCAGCCTCTGCAATATGAATCATTTATTTCAACACACACTGGGTTTATATACAAACCAAACCAACCACAACGTACTATAAAATAAGAAACAACATTTGTACAAGATCTAGTCAAATGTGGTTGTTAATGAGGGAGGTAGTAATTAATAGACAGGGCATAACTCAAGAATCGTAAATCGTATAATACTAGTTCTTAGATCAAAATAAAGCTCATAATAAGAGGGACATGAATATGTTAGTTTAGTTATTTAACAAATATACAAAAAAATATACTCATAATACTGGTCCATAAATGAATCCCAAGAATTACTATTCATTATTCTTAACGGGATATAACAGTTTACATGTGAATATCTCAGGGATACACATCTAAACAGCATTAAGACATCAATCGGCAAAATGTAACAATAAGTTTGGTTTTAACCTAGAACACGATTAACACATTATTTGAAAAGAAGAATAATTAAGTTCATAAGCATAGTGTAGTTTGTGTATAAGAACCAATCAATAACGTGTATTAGTAGCCCCCCCCCCAAAAAAAAAAAGTGATATTACAATTTCAGCAAACTATTTTACAATGAACAATCAAAAATAAACAAATGGAATGAAATTGGAACGATGGGAATATAAACCAAATTTATTCATAATTTAGGCCTATCTTTTAATCATCTTTATAGACTAAATACAGTAAAATGTTGGCAAGCTAGAATCTAGTAAACAAGTCAATCAATGCAAAACTATTCAAATTGTTCAGTAAATTCTCTTATATAATCACTGATTATCAATATGGATAAGATTTCAACCTAGAAAGATACATATCTATTATCCCCTATGTATACCTGCCTACTTATTTACGTCTGTTACTCATCGTGGAAGAGCATAGATTGTCCATCAGCATTCTCCATTCAACCCTGTCCTGGATAATCCTTTCCAGCTCTTTCCAGTTGTTATTCATCCTTTTCATATCTGATTCTATTTCTTGACGTAATGTGTTCTTTGGCCTTCCTCTTTTCCACTTCCTTCAGGATTTCAAGTTAGGGCTTGCCTCGTGATGTAGTTTGATGATTTCCGTAATGTATGTCCTATCCATTTTCATTGTCTTTTCCTAACTTCATCTTCATCTGGAAGCTGATTTGTTTTCTCCCACAGTAGACTGTTGCTGATGGTATCCGGCCAATGGATATTAAGTATCTTGCGTAGACAACTTTTTAATGAATCCTTGAACCTTCTTGATGATGATTGTAGTAGTTCTCGAAGTTCCATTTCCGTACAGTAGGATTGTCTTGATGTTCGTATTGAATCCTCTATGTACATGTTGAAATATTTACATGACTTTTATAAATATAAAGATTACCGTTTCAGATATAAGAATTGAATCACCATAAATGAGTATTGCGCATTTAAATATACATTTTTTCCCATGTTTTCACTTTAAATGATTCATTATTTACTAAACTTTAATATAATGAATGTCATTTTGAAACATTATACCTTTTATAACATAAGACAAAACAATGTTTAACACAGAGTATTAAGTCCATTAATTAACATGTTAATATATCATTTACAATAGTAATACTGTGGTGCGGGTTACTTATATCCAAAACAGTAGTATATAACACTGGTCAAGTATAGAATATATGTCAGTAGAAGATCGATAAGGAAAGAACAGAAACGGAATGCAATTGATATGAAAATGCATAAACAATGAAATTTGAGGCAATGGACTGATATTTGCAAACAAACATTCAAATGTGAGACGATGGATTAATATTTTGCAAATTAACGATTTACTGTATGGTTCTCAGATTTTAGTGGGATGCTCTGTAATTTCATCAAATACATTCGATTGTCCCCACTCGTGTTCTTATTCACTACATAACTACTATAGCTATATGTCGTACATTCACTATTTCCTAGAATGTTTAATTATTACCAAAAAAATTATGAGCACCTATTGAGATTTCTATCTTCATGTATAGAATAGTTTTTGTTTATTTAAATAATATTAGGTAGAAAAAGTAGTTGTCTTTTTTACGGTATATTCCCATCTAAAAATAACACAAGTTAGTGTATTACTTACTTACTTAATTACTTACGTCTGTTGCTCCCACTGGAGCATAGTCCGTCGATCAAAATTCTCCAAACCACTCTGTCATGGATCTTCTTTTCTATCCAATCGTTGTTCATTCTACTCATGTCGATCTCTGTTTCTCGGCGTATTAAATCTCAGTTTTTTTATACAGACAGCGTCTAGTTTTAGCATTTAAAGAAAAAAATGTATCAAGTGATTCACAATGATATTTTATTAATTTAGACTATTATATAAGGCGACGAGTTTAAGTACTTCTTCCTTTCCCCTGTTTCCGTAACCAGTTGTAAATATTCCTAAGTTATTATCAGAATGGGTTTTGTGAAGATTTTTAGAAATTTCACTGGTTGAAATCATGAGTCGACTGAAGCTAGACCACCATGGAAAACCTGGAAGTACTGAAAGGCTGTTTCGTCCTAGTATGGGAATCCTCAGCAGTGCGCATCCACGATCCTGCACCCCACGAAATTCGAACCCAGGATTTATCAGTCTCGCGACAGGCGCTTAGCCAACTAGACCACTGAACTAGCCGGCATCCAACGGTGTTCTAAAAATCTATACAAAGCCCATTCTGATAATAACAATCACCTGCTGACTGGTGACTGACTTCAGGATATACTCCTGGAGTTCTAGTGAGATGTTGTTACACGTGGAGTTCAACTAGATCCGTTGTAAGATATCAGCTCACTGAAGAAAATAGTGTACGGTGGCGCGACTTTTTGGATTTGTTGAAGTTAGACATCAACACCGCTGGATGCCGGCTCAGTGGTCTAGTTGGTTAAGCGCTTGGCACGAGACTTATAGGTCCTGGGTTCGAATTTCGTGGGGGAGCACGATTGTGTATGCACATTTCTGAGGATTCCCATACTAGAACGAAACGAATGTTGAATGCTTCCAAGTTTTCCATGATTGTCTAGCTTCGACTGACTCATGATTTCAACTATTGTAGTGATTGTTCTCTCTTTCATGGAATTAACCAAACTAAACTTTATTCAATATTATCTTACTTAACTATTACAAATGGTAGAATACAAAAAATCAGACAAAAAATGAAAAAGATAAATAAATTGATATCATACTGGGCAAATATTTTTTATTTTTTTTTGTCTTATCACCAGGATCATCCTTTATTTTTCGTACATAAACATCATGAAAAAATTGTTTTTCTTTCAATAGTTAGCAAAGGAAAAAAGAATTTAAAAATGAAGAAAGGTTAAATGGATAGAAATAATGAATGCTGAATATGAACGATAATAACAATATAGACTGTATAGCTATTACTGAGGATACTACAAACGGTATAAAAGATTATAATGACGTTGACTATAAAAGTGATCCGATCAGTGTTACTTACTAACGCCTGTTACTCCTCGTGAAGGAGCATAAACCGCTTTCCAGCATTCTCCATCCAACATTGTCCTGGGCAATCCTTTCCAATGTGGGGGAGGTGAAACACCATGTTCATCGACAGTGAAACATATAATTGAAACGGGGCACAAAATTGATATTAATACAGCTTTTAAAACGTTATATAGAAATTATCAAGGACGAATTTACAATTTTATTGAAGCCTTGGCTATTCGTAAATTTAAAGCCTCCTTATGTGTACAATAACAATTAGTTGCGCAATTTCGTTGTTTGGTTGAGGTTAGACATTAACATCGTTGAATGCCGGCTCAGTGATCTAGAGAATAAGTGTTCGCGCGATACTAAAGGCCCTGGGTTCGAATTTCGTGTGGGTCGGGATCGTAGATGTGCACTACTGAGGAGTCCCACAATAGGACGAAACAGTTGTCCAGTGCTTCCAGGTTTTTAATGATGGTTTAACATCAATCGGTTCATGATCACAATTATTCTGTGATTTGAAAACTGACTTCTAATTTTGTTAGGTTTGACAGTATGTAACCGACAGTTTGTTTTTGATGTGTTTTTTTAAAAACTGAAACTTTATTTTCATACTGGTAAATATCATACTTTCTATAACAATCGTTATATTATAGTTAACTATCCAATGCTCTCTGATTTTCAATGGTTATTTAACTAAGAATAGTTCGTGATGCTATATTTGGCAATCCTTAAAAACCTTTGGTTTGAGTCCAGCTTTTGAAAATACAGCTACGCACTGATGTGGAGTTCCATACTAGGACGAAACGGATGTCCAGTACCTACAAGTTTTTAATGGTAGTCTAGCTTAGATCGACTCATGAATTCAACTGTGAAAATAAGTTATATATCTTTCAAAACGATAATCTATCATGAAGCTAAAAAATTACATAATAAGTATAATTACTGAAAACCAGAAAATTAATGTTAAATACTTTATTCTATTCTATCATGATTATACAATGCACACAATTGTAGCAGCATGTTATATCCCGATGAGAATAATGAATGGTAACATTTGGGATTCATTTATGGACCAATATTATACGTATATTTTTATCATTTAACTGTTAAGTAACTAAGCTATTCATATTCGTGTTCCTTTTATCATAAGTTTTATTTTGACTTATGAGCTATTATTATGCGATTTACGATTCTTGAGTTATGCCCTGTCTATTAATTACTACCTCCCTCATTCACAGCCACTTTTAGCTAATTCTTGTACAAATGTTGTTTCCTACTTTGTGGCACGATGTGGTCTGTTTGGTTTGTATATAAACCCAGTGTGTGTTGAAATAAATGATTCATATTGCAGAGTCTGAGATTTGTGTTCTGGACTTAACAGACAGGGCTAGTCAAGAAGCAGGATCGATAAGGATTCTAGACTGCTCGTACGGGTTCTACGCATCACTAGTCCAATCGATAAGTCACTGATTTCTAATTGGCGATATCATTACGTTATACCTTAACAGGACACAGGGCACAACATATAACAATTGGCGACGGGGATGGGATTCAAACCCACGCGAGGGAACCACAATGGATTAACAATTAATGAGTTTTATTGGAATAGTTCAATGAGAAATTTTCTTCATGTACATGATGTCTACTTTAATACTTAGAAACTTCATCAAAGATGTGCATGAAAATGAACATTTTTGAAGGTGATCACTAATAAGCACATGATCAATCACTTTGTTTTGTAAAGCATTAATATCCTATTTCATTCATATTTTATTTTAAAACTATATTGGGATTTTTTTTCTTCTCTAGATGGTTACAAATTTTATTTCATGAAGCTGATTCAACTAATCAAGGATACTTAAGTGAATTTGAAGTGATTCGTTTAATTCGATCAATTAATCCAAGTTTATCATCGATACATTTAAGGCATAAATTAAAAGTAAGTCATTAAAATTATTTCATTGAAGACTAAATAATGAAAAAAGCTTTAATGTAATTTTAATGATCGTATCTTTGCTTCATGGATCAAGATTATTTAGAATATGATTGAATAAGAGGCATGAAGGTGTCTCACTCTTAGGGATTTTTCAGAAATGTTCAACTATAATCCTAATTTAGGGACCGAACTCAAAACCATTAGGCTGCTCAATATTCATATTGTGATGTGAGCTACTTATATCCGCATAAGTAGTATATAACGAAAGACAGGAATAGGATGTATTTCAGTAGAAGATCAATAAAGAAAGAACAAGAACATAAAACAATTGATATGAAAATACAGGAACAATTAAATCTGAGACGATGGACTGATATTTGCAAAAGAAACTGTCAAGTGATCGATATTTTGCAAATTCAGTATTTATTATATAGTTCTCAGATTTTGTTGAGATATTTTCCTCATGTTCTGATACATTCGATTGTCCCCACTCGTGTTCTTGTTCACTACAATATTACCTTCATGCTACTAGATAAGTCAATATTCCCGATTTTAGTCTATTTCAATTATGTAAGAAAGAATATTGACTTTTTTCTAAACAACTACTTTTCAAGGAGCTGAGAAATCAAGTAGTTTTGTTAACTATAAGAAATCAGACTAATTTATACACCTAAAGCTACCTGTAATGCTTTTTTGAATGTAAATGTATGAACCAATGTTGTTACTGTGGTTAATTTTAGTTCGTTAATTGCAGTATAATGAATTCTGGTTCACGAACTCAACTATAGACACTTTCATGTAACTTTTAGTGGGGCCCTTTATTTTGTCGTCATTTAGATCGGAAGATGTTTGTGGACTGGCTTTTCACTTTATTAGCCCGAGATCTGACTCCAATTTGATCGTATGAATGATCGTTGTCGAAATATATATGTCCTGACTATTCTCGTATATCTTCATCGACTTAATCTGCATTGAGTGATTAACGGAATTAAATAAGTCAAATAACAAGAATGGACTTTTGAATGCATATATTCTGTATATGAAGCGAATGGAAGATAGCGAAACGAAACGACGCGTGTTGGAGATGGCGGGTAAACCAAATCCCCTTTAGTCAAGCGTTAATCCATAATTATAGTCACACAAAAATAGGCTACAGACATATGATGAGTAAGGGGATAAGAAGTGTACATGCACCTACGCGCCCATATAAAAACAGTCAAAATTAATAAGCGAATAATTAACAAGGTCAAAATATGACTCAAGTAAAAGGAATAGATTGGGCCATCCGAAAGCTAGAATAAGATATATGTAGGCTTAACATAATAACCGACACTACAAACTTTGAAGTTAACACATCCTATTCTCGTGCTATATTCCTTCATATAATCATTCATTAAAACTTAATCAAACAATTTCATAGAATGTATCACTTAGGTATATAAAATAAATCCGACATTAGAACAAGTTTCTTTTTAATCATATCAAAGAATTGAAGTTTTGAATAGTTTAACTGTTTTACTTAATCAATCTTGTATAAGTTTCTTTTATACTATTTGCCTATTAAAAATGTATTACAAATAAACAATGGTTATATGAATTAGAGACTTGTTGATAAAAATAAGAATGTAATCACATTATGTTTTATACACTAGAGATTTCTATTAAGTTGCTTCTGATATTGTCAAATATTAAGATTATTCGTAATAAGGCAACCAGTAGTATTATTGTTTGTGTGGGTTACTTATATCCATATAAGTAGTATATAACCGTGGTCAGGTATAAAATATATTTCAGTAGAAGATCGATAAGGAAAAAATGAAAATGGTACTCAAGTGGTATGAAAATGTATGAATAAGGAAATCTGACACAATGGACTGATATTTGCGAAAGAAACAGTCAAGTTTGACACGATGGATTAGCAGTTTGCAAATTAACGATTTATTGAGATTCTCTGTAATTTCGTGTTCTAAGACATTCAATTGTCCTCACTGGTGTTCTTTTTGCTACATTAACATTATTACAGTAAATATGGAAGTAAGAATGATTGTTATCATTAGTGATATTTAAGTCAAAATATTAATACTAAATATATGTAGTTATCTATCACTAATTACAGATTCAATCCTAAGAAATACGAAAGATAAAATAACATAGAAGGAGAAAATGACAACAGGTTTCCTCCACATCTCTTTTTTGTTTTATTTAACTAGGAGAATGTGTTAAAGAAATACCAACACTATCGACTTCTCTATTAAATATATGTTGATAATGGGATTATTTAGAAAATAAATGTTACCCTATTGATAAATGATTGACATGAGAAAATGTAACAAAGTATAGAAAGTAATTAGGATAAAATTGATAAATGTGGCTATTAGTTAGATCTAGGACACGTGTTCTATCCTGCTAACAGTATGTACCTGCATCTCGGAGCTGATGTTTACTCCGGGTTTCCACCAATACAATGCTTTTTGCTTCAAACACACAACTTGTTATTCACTTAGCTAGTAAGTCCAGCTAGCCATTCATTTTTAGTGGCCCGATATATTTGACTCCAAGTAGATCGTATGAATGATTGTTCTCCAATCGTCGCATATTGTTATCGACTTAACTCGCGTTAGTGAATAACGGAATTAGATAAGTTTGAAAACATATATTTCGTACAATCGTTGGTCTGAACAGACGGTCTATCGGAGAAAGGAAGCGAATAAACCGTAGCGAAATGACAAGCGATGGAAAAGGCATGTAAATCGACTTAGTGTAAACAAGCTTGAATTGATTTTTATAGTCAGATAAAAATAAGTTACAGACATGTAATCATTAAGATAAGGAATGCACACATATGTGCTTACATAAAAACAGTCAATTTATAAGCGAATAAGTGACAAGATCAAAATTTAGTTCGAGAAGAATGAATAGGTTGATCTGTCCAGAAGCTAAAATAATCCATGTGGGCTTGACATAGTACCAGCCCCTACACACCTGTCCCACAGACATATGTTTGTTATGGTCTTAAATTATTCCATTGTTAATATAAGGACTAAATGTTGATCTGTTTCAGATCAAATACCATTACAAATTGTATTAATGCATCAAAGTTCGATTTGTACACAGTTATAACTCTCCATACTCATTTCATTTCAGTAGCAAAGGCTTCACTTATTCTTTAAATACTGAACTCAGAGAAGATATAGAGAATAATACTGCTGGAAACCTGTACCATATGATATATATATATATATATATATATATATATATATATATATATATATATATATATGCATAGGTGAATTGATTTTCAGAAAAATTCGAATACAAATTAATTAGAATTTAAAGCGAAACTAAAACTTATGGACGAACCAATCAGGTATAAGATAACAGATCTCAGATTTTGTTACGAAATCCACTCATCCATTTGGTTAAATAGAGATTAGGTTCTCAAATGCCCTGGTACGGCCGAGAGTGGGGAAAGTCCGCCCACCCTCTCCAAATGCTCTCACATGGACACGCGTATATAGCCTCTGCCAGGGAAACCCTACTCACTGTCTTATCGTGGCGGTTTTGTTGACGAAATTAATAAGACGAAGAGTGAATGTCCGGCGATTTGACCGGTTTGGTGGACATGGAGAGTCCACCTAGGGAATTTGGTTGGAAAACCCTCATTCCAAACCAATAGTGCACATGGGCTGGCTCCAGTATACTGAAATAACAAATGGCGTATGAACCAATCGTTGGACACTGGCTACCATGTTACTGCATCTTCTTACGATGCTCCACTGCCTTGTGGATCAGACCTTTAGGTCAAAGGCTCCTGGTGTGGTTTTCTAAGAAAACCATCTGCTTCGGTTTGGGCACCCGGGCAGCATTACAGCCCTCACACATATCAAATGAGATCTGTGTAGCTCATATGTATTTGGCGCCTCCTTGTACTAATATCTATGTGTTAAAATAAATTATAAATTATAGCTGATGTCAGTTCATGATGAAAACCCTAAATCTAATTTCTATCCTTAACTAACAACTGTAAATCATAATTAAAATTCTTCACATTAATTTATAACTCTCATATGGTCCTAGTTATCAAGATCAGTCTAGCGTCGCTCAAATGTCGTCCATAAATTATAGTCTCACCGGATTTAAAAACTATGATCATAATACTTGATAATATGTATTCGCATGGAGATGAGTTCACATGAATTGAATCAATGAATGTTTCGTATTATTCATAACTCGGTTTATACATTGGTTGCTCGGAATTTTAGGAGGCCAAAAAGACAATTAGTATTTTGAAAAAAAGGAAAACGTTTATAAAATAACTTTCTGGTAAATACAAAATTAGTAGATATTTTGATAGTTACTTACTGACTTACGCCTGTTACTCCCGATAAAGCACAGGCCAACGACCAGCATTCTTCATCCCACTCTGTCACCCGCTTTCTTTTCTAGTTCCATACAATTCTTGTTCACTTTTTTCATGTCTATCTCCATTTCTCGGCGTAATGTGTTCTCTGGTCTTCCTCTCTTCATTTGGCCTAGAGGATTCCATGTGAGGGATTGCATTGTGTTGAAGTTAGGTGCATTCCTCAATGTATGTCCTATCCACTTTCAGTGCTTCTTCCTGATTTACTCCTCTACTGGGATCTGCTTTGTTCTCTCCCATAGTAGGTTGTTGCTGATAATGTCTGGCCAATAGATCCGAAGTATTTTGCCTAGACAACTGCTAATAAACACTTGTATCTTCTGGATGACGGTTTCAGTAGTTGTCCAAGTTTGTGTCCCATACAGTAGAACTGTCTTGACATTTGTATTGAAAATTTTGACCTTGGTATTGATTGACAGTTGTTTTGAGATCCAGATGTTCTTCAGTTTTAGATATGCTGCTCTTGCCTTGCCAATCCACACCTTCACATCTGCATCAGAACCATCGTATTCATCAATGATGTTGCGCAGATATGTGAAGGTTTTTACATCTTCCAAATCTTCCCCGTCAATTGTGATTGGATTAGTGCATGCTGTATTGTGTCGGAGAATCTTGCTTTTCCGTTTGTGTATGTTGAGACCTACTGCTGTTGAGGCTGCTACTACACTGAGATAGGTGTAATTTAATTGGATGTAATTGGGAAAGAGAAATTGATCCTAGGTCCGCGCTAATCGACACTACAGGCGGAGTTACCAAAAAACATACCCACTCTAATAAAAACGATGTTCCTTAGTTGATTCAAGTAGACTTTTAGCTTTTCTACTGAGCGATACCATATAAATTATATATATTATGTTATATATAATTAATTCCTTGAAGTCCAAAGCGTGAACGAATGAATTTTCACCTAATAATTGATTAGTTTAATATATCTGGTGAAACTTAAACATTTTTGATTCATAGCTAGTGTGTGGTCCTGCCTACATTCTGTTGAACGGTTGAAAATAGAAATTTAAAACATGCTTTCTACTGTTGTTGTCTGATACTCAGTAACTTTTTGATGAAGTTTTATTCTCTGAGCTCAGAGAATAAAAACTCTATCATAATCATTCACCTGAGCTATCAATCTTTACTGTCAACTCAATAATCCTCTAAGTAATATCTATCCATAATAAAAATCACATTCAAGTTTACATTATATCTTTATATCTCGTACTGTTTAAATGAAATAACTATACTGTTCATATATATCAAGGGTAATCACATAGTTTATAAATCAGTAATTTCATTTCAGGTCTAATGATATATTCCGTCAACCATTTTTTTAAAATCCAAAATTGTTATATATTACTTATATTGAGATGGTGGAGAAGATATGTAGCTCAAGTGGATGATTTTCATGGAGTTTTGTTCTCTGAGCTGGATGGTTTGGTCGCGAAGCTTTCGTCATTCTTCCGGAGAAAATCAACATCCCAAACTTCAGATTCGAGTGAAATGTTCGAATTTCTTCACAATCGATTCACAGCTTGTCCTGTAGACGTCGATGTTGATTGGTTCTCTCATGGGAGATACAACCAAAAGAAAGAAGTAAACAATGACAGGTTTAAGGTAAACAAGAATCAATCAACATCGAAGTGTACGGGTTAAGCTGTGAATCACATGTGGAGAAATTCTAATACTTCACTACTACCTAAAGTTTGTGATGATGATGTCGTTCAGAAGAACGATGAAAGCTCCACAACCAAACCATCCAGCTCAGAGAAGAAAACTTCATCAAATTACTTATATTAAAATTTAAAACTGACTAGTTAAACAATCACATCAACCTAACTTGAATATTTATTCTAAATCATATTCAATTTTGTTATTCTTAGCATAAAAAGTATTATGTTATAAGATCTTTCATAGTTGGAGACAGAATAAACTAAGAATCAAATTAGTATTGGTATTCGTAATAATAATAAGAATTTGCTTCGTCAGTAACGAATAAAATTATCAAATCACAATTTTTAAACGTGTAATCAAACTTAAAATTTTCAACAAAATTAAGAATGAATGGATTCAGTTGGTGTTGTTTGTTTATATCTTCCCATTGTTGTTAATGACTGTAATTGATCAGTCTCTTGTTGACATTTGTGCATCCTGTGCGGATTTCTTCGATATTACCTTAAGTTACAAGCCTTATAAGCAAAGATGGTTTGGTGGCTAGCAATGGAATCTAGTTTGACTCGCGTTTTGTCCTATTTGGGACTCATCAGTTGGATGTACCTGCATCTCAGATTTGATGTTTACTCCAGGACTTGAATTCAGTACCCTTCGTTTCAAACGTCATCACATTTTACACTTACCCACTGAGTCCTGATAGCCACTCTCTTGTAAAATGAGGTGAAATATTTGTTACTAACAGTACTTATAAAAACTGTGACCATTATTTTTGGTATCTGTTAACAATGGCTTAATTCATTTAGTTACAAATAAATTAAAGTGATTCTATTTAGTAATCATATAATTTCCCTTTTAACTTCATACAACCTATTCCATTGTAATCAAGTTAATAAAGAATAACATTTATACAGAATTCAGTCAGTCAGTAACAACGCAGAACTTCGTACATAGGTACGTACATCAGTTCGAGATGCCATACCACATTAGCACAGCGATGCAGTTATCGATTCAAATCCCATAGTGTTAGAAATAGTAAAAGTATATGCAGTAATCGGAAATATTAGGGTTTGAAGATGTTATACAAGAATTCAACAAATGATCCTAATCACCTGTAGAATTACATAAATAAATAAACGCGTAAATCTCTTCTTTCAATTATTATTGTTTACTTATTCAATACATTGTTTGACTGCCCAATTAAATATTTTAACTATCAATTCAATTCATGTACGCCTGTTACTCCCGATGGAGAATAGGTTGCCGATCAGCATTCTCCCACCCACTCTGTCCTCCGCCTTCTTTTCTAGTTCCATACAATTCTTGTTCATTTTTTCCATGTCTATCTCCATTTCTCGGCGTAATGTGTTCTTTGGTCTTCCTCATCTCCTTTGCTTAGCCTTGAGGATTCCATGTGAGGGCTTGTCTTGTGACGCAGTTGGGTGCTTTCTTCAATGTGTGTCCTATCCACTTCCAGCGCTTCTTCCTGATTTCTTCCTCCACTGGGATCTGCTTTGTTCTCTCCCATAGTAGGTTGTTGTTGATAATGTCCGGCCAATAGATCCGAAGTATTTCTTGCGTAGACAACTGTTAATAAACACCTGTATCTTCTGGATGATGGCTTTGGAAATATTTTAACTAATTTAATACTAAAACATAACTAAGTAACTATAACTAAGTTTTTCTTCCACTTTTCACTCTTTTGGTTTATTATCACATGAACAAAACATTTTTACATATTTATTGATTGATCTGATAAAGAAAAAAAACTAGATCCAGTTTAATGTATGTATGTATGTACATAGAAACCGGTAATTCGATTGATTCTTTATTATTTTTTTTGTTGTTGTTGTTAAGAGTCATCTGATCTAGTTACTGTTTGTTGTGTTTTTTATTTATTTATTTATTTGAAGAACAAATCAATGATATAAAAAAAATATTATCACTTGTATATCAATGTGTTTGTGTGTGTATGTGCGCATGTGTATGTGAGTGCTTGCGTGTGTGTGTGTGTGTGTGTGCGTTATGATGATATGAAAGGAATCATGTTTCTGTCTCTTTTTTTTTCTTCTTTGAAATCTTGTCTGTTAAATAATTGAAAGGAAAGAATCTTTTTAAAAAAACATTCTGCTAAAGCTTTAATGATTTAATTTTGAAATGTAAAATGTTTTCATTAGAGATTAAGTTTGTATGATCATTATTGGATAGTAGTTACTAAGTGGTGGACAAAATACTTGACAACTATTATCTGGGTTTTTTTTTCTTAGTGATTATACAAAATGTAAGATTCAATAAGTTTTTGTTTGTTTGTTTGTTTTTTTCAGTTCCTGTTTGCAGATCATATAAGTATGATATTTTCAATTTCTTAGAATTTCTTCATTTATATAGATATAACTCTTTTTTTGTTTTGTTTTTATAGGAGATGGAGAGTAAAGTTCGATGTCATAAAACTGGAATAACTAAAGATGATTTTGTAAATTTTTTTAAGAAAGTTGCTACCAGACAAGAGATTTATTATATTCTTGTAAGGTAAGCGTTTTTCTTTTGAAGAAAAAGAATGATGTATATCTAATGGTTATTATTTCACTACACGGCATCTCTGTGCTAATGTGGTGTGGCAACTCGAACTGATGTACGTACGTACGAAGTTCTACGATGTTACTGACTGACTGACATAATTATTCGTATCAGTATGGGTGGGGGGCGTTGTGTGGAAATTATTGAATTTCATTGAAATTACGAATAAATCTAATTTGAACAACTACTGATAATGACGAAATATAAGAGGAATTTTCTGTCTTAGTATGAGACTCCTTGACAGTGAACATCCACGACACTGATACCTTGCTCGTTTCGTGATATGTTGAGTCTTGAACTGCTAACATCTAACTGGCAATCACTCAGTATTTATTGTCAGGATCGATCAAGAAATAAGAAGTGGAAACTTGTTGAAATACTTTGTGCTGAGAATTCTATATTATACTAAAGATCTAATATTGAATAAAACCATTAGTAATAATAATATCATTATTGTTATAACTTATGAATCTGTGTGTCCTGTATATTGGATAACGCAACGACACCGCTTATTAGAGAGCAGCGACTTATCGATCGGAACAATGATGCGTAAACACGTGCGAGCTGCTTAGAGTCCTGATTGGGCTCGCTTCCTGTCTAACCCAGCCAGATAAGTCCAGAACACAAGTCTCGGCCTCTGCAATATGAATCATTTATTTCAAACATACGGGGTTTATATAGCAATCAAACCGACCACAACGTGCCATAAAATAGAGAATAACATTCGTACAATATTTGGCCAAATGTGGTTGTGAATGTTGGAGACTACAATTAATAGACTAGACATAACTCAAGAATGGTAAATTATATAATAATAGTTCATAGGTCAAAATAATAAAGAGACATGAATATGAATAGTTTAGTTATTTAACAGTTATACAATAAAAATATACTCATAGTATTGGTCCATAAATGGATCCCAAGAATTACCATTCATTATTCTTATCTGGATATAACAATTATAGTTATTGGTTAGTAATAATTCTATCTTAAAAATATTGTTTCTGGTTTTTCTAAGCCACCTTATAATAAAATATTAAAGCAAGTTGACTTTATCTTAATTAATCATTTAGATATATCAAAGTTATTGTGTACCAACAAAACCCCTAGCTAGAACTCCAGAACATCAGTACTTTAAAATCTATCTACATAAGATGAAGTATAGACTCTTAATAATACCATATTTGGCCGATATATCATGCAATGAAATTAATGATTGAAAAGGCTAAGATGTTTTAAAAAATAACATAACAGTTTGGCGAGCGGAATCAAAAATGCGCACTGGTGAGAAGTCCCATATAACGACTAATCGATCGTCCGGTGTTTCTAAGTTTTCAACAGTGGTCTAACTTAGATAGACTTATGAATTCGATAACGGTAAAATGAAATAGTTGTCAAATATACATTAACAAAATATCTGTCTATTGTGCATTCTTCAAACCAATATACATTCATGCATCTTTCTGATCTAAACAATATCTAGATATTTGTAGCTATTTAATCTTAATATTCTAAAGCATTGTATAAGTAATACTTTAACTCTTAATCATTACTAGTACTAATCATAGACCACTTTTCCCAACGTATTGATACGTTTGATTCATTATTATTATTTCATCAGGTAAAATGAATCAAAGCTGATCTATCGAATTCAATCAGCAGTACTATTTATTAAACAAATATAATATTAGAATGAGTTCTGTGGAGAATTTAGGAAATTTCACAGGTTGAAATCATGAGTCAATTGAAGCTAGACCACCATGGAAAACCTGGAAGCACTGGACGGCCGTTTCGTCGTAGTATGGGACTCCTCAGCAGTGTGCAACTTCGTGGATTGTTTGAAGTTAGACATTAACACCGTTGGATGCCGGCTCAGTGGTCCAATGGTTAAGTGCTCGCGCGCGAAGCCAGTAGGTCCTGAGTTTGAGCCCCGCGTGGTGCGGGATCGTGGATGCGCACTGCTGAGGAGTCCCATACTAGGACGAAACGGCCGTCCAGTGCTTCCAGCTTTTCCATGGTGCTCTAGCTTCAATTGACTCATGATTTCATCCTGTGAAATATAATATTGACTACTAACCAGTGTTTAGTCAGTGTAAATTTCTCACTCTCATATGAGTTAATTGATGATTAAAATAACTCATAGTGTCACTGAATAAGAAAAAGAGAATTCAGTGAAGAAAATTATTATGACCTTTGTTGTTTTGTCGTTTTTCTTCATATCTGTCAATTGGACTATTATCTGACCCATAAATTTTGTTCTTTCTTACTCCTTGATTAGTACGTTAACCTCATTTGTTATTTATTCTCGAATCCACTTTTTTTGTGATACAATCCTTCTTATCCTTCTATAGACATACATTTTCGATATAACTATATATGCGAATGTGCAGTTTAAGTGAATGATTTCGTCAAGAAGAGAAAATTTTCATTACTGAATTCTCTTTTTCTTATTCAATTACACTATGGGTTATTTTAATCATCAATTAACTCTTATGAGAGTGAGATATTGTTTAGCGTTTAAATGATCTCATTGATGATATTCATGACTGAAATCACATTATTCTTAGTTGGTAGATATATGTTCTTTAAAGATTATATTTACATAGTTACAATTTAATAATTCATTTAAAATTGATGGATTATTTGAGACTTGTCAGCTAGGTGTACTTGTATTATCAATGTGAATATCAACACTGTAATGGAATAATACCTAGTTGATTAGTCTCAAATAGGAAGAAATGTACGTATTGGATCACTGATAATAACCATAAGTATACAAATCTATAAGTCATCTTATAAGCTCAAAGAATCGTGAATGACGAGAATACGAATCTCATAGGGTACAACAAGGTACAACTCGTTTAAAAGTACATATCAGCACAAAGCCAAAATCCGAAATATCCTGCTGACTAACACTAAATAGTTAACATTAAAACACAAAATAAGTCACTCCTGCTCATTACCACATTTCAATTTACTACCCAGAACTCAATCAATATTGAAAGACTAGTAAATAATAACAGTAGTCACTACTCAGTGATCAGTCATATATATATGAATCAGTATACATACATATGACTTGATTTACTCAAATACACTTCAGTTAAAATGGAAAACATTTTCTGAACCTAACAAATACATTTGTTAACAAGAATCACTTATTAAAGTTAGTTTTTTCCATTGTTTGATAATAACTGAAGAATCATTGAGAACTAAAAGACACTGGACTGACGTTTTTTTCCCTTCTCATCCTTCCCTGTCCCGAATTCCCTTAATGGACATACATTTTCCATATAACTATATATATGAATGTACAGCTTAAGTAAATGATTTCGTCGAAAAGAAAAGTTTCTTCGCTGAATTCTCTTTTTCTTAGTTAATTGATATCTTGAATAGTTCAATAGTAACACTTGATCTCAATAATCGTTGACATCTATTTGTACTATGAAAAGTTCATCAGTTCTCAAAAAAATTCAAAATATATTTCCTTCTTAAAGAATACCAACTAGCAACAGTTTTATATTATCTTAGTGTTAATTGTATGTTAAGTAGATTACAATTGTCGAAACTAAAACGTATGTTTCATCCTATTTGAACTCATCAACTGGATGTGCCTAAATTTAATCAGTTATATTCTTTCTTAAAATAGTATACCTCCTGAACACTTTGTTGACAATCATAATGGTGCGAATATTGAATTTATAGATAATGTTTTCGTGAATTAATGTAAATATCAGAACTGAGATGTAGATTATATCTAGCTGACAATTCCTAAGTAGAACCAAAAATGTATCATGGATTCCATTTTCAAACAATATCCAAAACATAATTGACTTGTACATAAAAATTTTAGAGGCCCCAATTCAACTCTAATTAGATCGGATGATGATGATGATTGTCATCGATAAAGATATGCCGTTGAGTCAAATATGAGAATGAAGCTTGAATACGTATACTTCATACTCTCATTGATTTGAACAGATAATCAGGAAGACGAAGCGAACGAAGAAAAATGGAGAAGGCGAAGCGAAGCGGGAAGAAATGTCACCTAACGGAGAAGATGAATGAACTAATTAGATTTAACCAAGAATGACTCAATAATTTATAGTCAGATCAAAAATAAGTTACAGATACGTAATGAATAGGATAAACAATCAATCAACGGCAGACAAGACTAAGTTGGTCAAGATCAAATCCTTCTTACACCTGCTAAAAACTCCTCGACTAACCCTTCACCGATTTCTTTATCACTTCGCACCTTTAGGGCAAACGATTCGAGTACACGGAACTCTTTTTACAAATAATTATTCTGTTATTACTTATTAGATATGTTTCAAATCTATTATCATATAATGTTTTCTCATTGAATCACTATTTAAACATCATTTATTAAAACAATTATTCCAGGTACTCCAGTGGATCAGAACATTTGAGTGCAGAAGATTTAAAGAATTTTTTCGAAAGTGAACAAGGTGTAAGTTTCTTTCATGCCGTTCATGAAGTATACTTTTTAAGTCTTGTTCAGTAAGTTGTTAATGTCTCACATATAACACACATATCTACAGATTCTTATATCTGTAAGACATAACAATGATCTCCCACATCATAAACGACGAGAAATCCTTTGACTCAGTGTTTCTATCAACTGTTTAAATAAAGTCGGCTTTTCGTAAAGTACGGTCGTCTGTTTTTGATTTGTTTTTTTTTTCATATTAAGGACATTGAAGCATATCTTCAAATACGAGATACCACCTATTAATCCATGTCTCGACAGCTCTTTTCTTTCTTGTCTAACCTCAGTAAACAATTCAATGTCCCTATCAGATCCCGCTTTGTGTTACTAAATCATCGAGAGCCATACACAAATCTAAGCCAAACATATTTTTTTTTATATTTTATGCACATGTATCATATATAGGTATGCATTCGTGAATATATAACACTAATAACAAATACAATCAGTACCTCATGTTACTGCACATAAATGTTCATGTAGGAAATATTCAAAGACCCATTATTATCTATAAGAGAGTAGCAAACCCTTCTAAAGTCTCTGATATAAATATTAAATAATGTACTTATACTTCTATATGTTACTTACTTACGCCTGTTACTCCCAATGGAGCATAGGCCGCCGACCAGCATTCTCCAACCTACTCTGTCCTCCGCCTTCTTTTCTAATTCCATCCAATTCTTGTTCACTTCTCTCATGTCTATTTCCATTTCTCGGCGTAATGTGTTCTTTGGTCTTCCGCTCCTTCTTTGGCATTGAGGATTCCATGTGAGGGCTTGTCTTGTTACGCAGTTGGGTGATTTCCTCAATGTGTGTCCTATCCACTTCCAGCGCTTCTCCCTGATTTCTTCCTCCACTGGGATCTGGTTTGTTCTCTCCCACAGTAAGTTGTTGCTAATAGTGTCCGGCCAACGGATCTGAAGTATTTTGTGTAGACAACTGTTAATAAACACCTGTATCTTCTGGATGATGGCTTTCGTAGTTCTCCTGGTTTCCGCCCCATACAGTAGAACTGTCTTGAAATTTGTATTGAAAATCCAGACCTTGGTATTGATTGACAGTTGTTTTGAGTTCCAGATGTTCTTCAGTTGTAAATATGCTGCTCTTGCTTTGCTGATCCGCGCCTTCACATCTGCATCAGATCCACCCTGTTCATCAATGATGCTGCCTAAATATGTAAAGGTTTTTGCATCTTCCAAATCTTCTCCGTCAATTGTGATTAGATTGGTGCATTCTGTGTTGCATCGGAGAATCCTGCTTTTCCCTTTGTGTATTCTTCTATATGTTACTTGGTACTAAATGTCAGTTTTCTATGATCTTTATTAACTTCACATACTTTACTAACTTAATTATTATGTTTTGTTTTAAAATTTAGAGGACTGGATTAACGCGTGATCAATGTAAAGCTTTAATTAATCGTTTTGAACCATCCCATGAAAATCGACAATACAATTTAATGGGAATCGATGGTGAGTTAATTATTTCTTATATTTATCTTTCATAAAGTTCTTACACAGTACTTAGAATATTTTATTAAAGTTGGATATCGGCTAGTAATGAAACTCAGTATATATTTCATCCTGTCTAAAACTCATTACCTTGATTCAACCTCATCTAAGTGTTCATGTTAACAATAAAACTTAGACCTAATGCGTTTCACTTCAAACGTCAACTCGTTATTCATTGAAATGTTATGAAATGAATATGAATCTTATCTGTTAATTTTAAGGACTGAAACCGATTAGTTTCTATTGATATTTATGCTTCCTGAGTGGATTGGAAACTTTACCAAAACCTTGTGACTTAATTGTAGTGTCAAAGCAATCTGTCAATATAGATTGGGGAATTGTAGTATGTATGATCAAGAAACATAAATACAAAACCCTTACAAATAAATTATGTGTATAGGTCGAAGGTGCAAGAATATTTGACGAGACTATAATTTATGCACGAACCAATCAGATTTACGATAAAATGTCTTGGATTCTGGTATAAAATTCATTCATCAATTTGGCTAATTAGTGTTTTGCAATTTTAATTGATGCAAGTTCGTTATGAAAACCCTAGATCCAATTCCTTATCCTAACCATCAATTGTAAATCATAATCTTAATTATTCATACTGATTGGTAACTTTCATTTAGCCATAGTAAGTAGGTGAACATTTTATATGTCTCATCGAATATTCTTCTTCCAAGCTCTTAAAATCAAATCTCTACTGGTACTACTACCATGAAGCCTTAAAAAAAGACGTTACTTATCAAAAAGTCAATCATTTACCATTTGAAAGAGTTCTTGTATGCTTTAATAAACAGTTTATTTCAAAACATATAATGCTCCATGATTACGTATCTGTCATGTGCTTTGATGCCTTATTCAGTTATTGATTGAGATCATGAAGCGATTGATGTTTGACCACCATGGAAAACCTGGAAGCACCGGATGGCCATCTCGTCCTATTGTGGGACTCCTCAGTATTGTACATCAACAATCCCGCTTCGCGAGATCCGAACCCAGGGCCTTCGTTCTCGCGCTCGAACGCTTAACCTCTAGACCAATCAGCCGGCATCCGACGCTGGTCTAGAAGTTAAGGGCTCACGCCCTAGACCGATATGTCCTGGGTTCGAATCTCGCATAGCAAGATCGTGGATATGCACTACTGAAGAGTCCCACAATAGGAAGAGATGGCCGTCCAGTGCCTCTAGGTTTTCCATGGTGGTCTAGCCTCGATTGATCCATTATCTCAACTATTAAAATTAATAGGATTAAAATGATATATTTAGTAGTCATAAGACTGTCTAACCTGATAGTAGTTCCAAAAAAATATAGGTCTTCGTGGGTGTGTACTTTCTGTGTTCCAGGTGAATACTATAACACTGCTACAAGGTTGAAACTAATATGAAAACACAAAATGGATATAATTGCATCATTACAATAAATTTCGAGTTAAATCTTCAGAAATCTTCAAAAATAAATTGTGACCATAGTATCGATCTCTTTCAAAACATCTTCAGCTGTATGTATGGTTCAGAATAACAGTCAGCCACTTCACGATTTGTTGCTTAGTCTTGGTTGATTCAAATATCTAGCAGGCTCCCGAAGAATAAAGTAATCACACCCGACAAATCAACTATAATCATGATAATAAAGTTAGGCGTCTGCTGATGTTAATTGATGAAAGACTGTTCTGAATATATATGGACCCATCGACGATTACAAATAAATAAAATCTCCAGACATATGTAAGCTCATAAATTCACTAACCTTGCAGATAAAAGAAGTCAAATTTTTAACGATCAGGTACCCTACACAACACCCTCAGGTTTTTATCTCTTGTTAACAACTTGCATTTTTTTTATATTTAGCAGAGCACTGAGTCTTGACTATTGAGGAGTCCGGTATTAGGAAGAAAAAGTTGTCAAGACCTTCCTTAGTATGGCCTTTTTACTAAATTTAATCAGCAATGTGCACTGCAAACTTTACAGAAATGTAAAAAGAAATTTTTTAGAAACGTCTTATTGATAAGGATGTGAATAATATGACATAGCAACAATCGAAAAATACCTGTAGTGTCTGTTGTTATGTTAAGCCCATATATATTATTCTAGCTTTCGGATGGGCCAATCTATTCATTCGACTTGAGTCACATTTTGACCTTGTTAATTATTCGTTTACCAATCTTGACTGTTTTTATATGAGCACGTGGGTGTGTGTACACTTCTTATCCCATTACTCATCATATGTCTGTAACCTATTTTTGTGTGACGATAAATTTTGATGGACGCTCGGTTAATTGGAGTTGGTTTACCCTCCATCTCCACTGCGCGTCGTTTTGCTTCGCTTCATATTACCAAATATAATGTATTCAGTAATCCATCCTCGTTATTTCATTCCGTTAATCACTCAATGCGGATTAAGTCGATAAATATATACGAGAATAGTCAGGACATATATATTTCGACAATGATCATTCATACGATGGAATTAGAGTCAGATCTTGGACCAGTATAGTGGAAAGCCCTTTCGACAACATCGTCCAATCTAAATGACGACAAAATAAAGGGCCCCACATACCAAATGTTCATTTTAGCAATAAAACGTATATACATTTTGAACAAATATGCATAAATTACATTCTTTTCTTAATATTTTAAATATATTACTTTCATTTTAGGATTTACATTATTATTATTATCCGAAGAATGTGATATATTCAATCCAGTACATCTACAAGTTTGTCAAGATATGTCTCAACCAATAACTCATTACTACATTGCATCATCACATAAAACGTAAGTTTGATTGATTCAACAATTCAAATCTAAATAAATACTGGGGCCCATGTGCACCATTGGTTCAGAATCAGGGTTTTCCAACTCCCCTAGGTGGACTCTCCATGTCCACCAACCCGGTTAAAGAGCCGGACATCCACTTTTCGTCCTCTCAATTTCGTAAACAACGGTAATGTCACGAGAAGGCAGTGAGTAAGACTTCCCTGACAGATGCTATATACACATAGCCATGTGAGAGCATTTCGGGAGGGTGAGCGGACTCTCCCAACTCTCGGCCGTACCAGGGCATTTGGGGGACACTTACAATATCTTCTGCATACTCAATACATCATTTCTGTCTAATTATATAGATGTTTTGTATAAATTACTTAGAATGTTTATTATTTATTCCAAATACTCTGACTACTACTTATACTGTAGTGAACAAGAACACAAATGGGAATAAACGAATCTACTTGGCACGGAATTACAGAGTATCCCAATAAAATCTGAGAACCATATAGTAAATCGTTAATTTGCAAAATATCAATCCATCATCTCAAACTTGACTGTTTCTGTTGCAAACATTAATCCATTGTCTCAGATTTCATTGTTCATGCATTTTCATACCAATTGCATTCCGTTCCCGTTCTTTCCTCATTGACCTTCTACTGAAATATATTCTATACCTGACCACCGTTATATCCTACTTGTGTGGATATAAGTAACCCACACCACAATACTTCATGATAAATAACAAAATTTATAAGCTAATACTATCTATTCTTGATTTCATAATCTATTCATGATTAAGTTTTATCAACTTAAAACTTGAGTCAACTTAGTTAGTTAATGTATGAAGTTGACCTATTTTCATTGATTGTCACATCATGAATAGAGTGTTTACAAGATGTTAATAATAGAATATTTACTAGATAAGATAATTCAAAACATAGGAGCTTTTATTACAGCTTCTATCATCTGTTGAATTGTTATACAGTCACATTAGCATCATATATATTTATCATACTCTAATAACTCAATTTTTAGTTAACCTTCTTCTTGATATTTCATTTATTCGAGTTTTTATAAATTATGAAGGTTTTTTCACATAATAATCCCATTACTTCTATCAGACAAAAGCAATCGCAATATAACTAAGTTACTTAGAAACTTTTATTACAAGACTTTTACTTACGCCTGTTGATCCCAGTGTAGCATAGGTCGGCGACCAGCATTCTTCAACCCACAGTGTCTTGAGCCTTCCTGTCTAGTTCTGTCCAATTGTTGTTCATTTTTCTCATGTCTGTCTCCATTTCTCGGCGTAATGTGTTCTTTGGTCTTCCTCTCCTCCTTTGGCCTTGAGGATTCCGTGTGAGGGCTTGTCTTGTTACGCAGTTGGGTGATTTCCTCAATGTGTGTCCTATCCACTTCCAGCGCTTCTTCCTGATTTACTCCCCCACCGGAATCCGGTTTGTTCTCTCCCATAGTAGGTTGTTGCTGATAATGTCTGGCCAACGGATCCGAAGTTTTTTACCTAGACAACTGTTAATAAACACCTGTATCTTCTGGATGATGGTTTTCGTAGTTGTCCAAGTTTGTGTCCCATACAGTAGAACTGTCTTGACATTTGTATTGAAAATTTTGACCTTGGTATTGATTGACAGTTCTTTTGAGTTCCAGATGTTCTTCAGTTGTAAATATACTGCTGATGTGTGGACGAGAATGATAAGGATTTTTTGTCTGCTCTGTCAGAAATGTAGATAGTTTCACAGGTGTTAGATGAGTTATATATTCCCCTATCCTTATTACTACTTATTATTGATTGTTCATTGTTGTTTCGGATTTTTAATGTGGATATGTATTTACGTTCTAGTCAGGCCAATCACATGTTCTTGATCTCACTTGTGTTGAAGTCCTGTAGAATAGACAGTGGGAGGGAATCTTGTGAAGAAATTTATCTAAGTTAAATTAACGTCCCATACGTGTAAACATGGAATATCTACTTTTATAACAGCTGCTCTTAAGACAAATTGATAATTTTAGATTATCCCAATAGTATACGACAAAACATGCAATCCATTGATGGTTGTTAAATAATGTTCGTAGAATATTGAAGTGATTTTCCTCATTTCATGCTGTATCAATCAATTGCTCATAGTTTAAATAAATTATGGTTATATTTGAACAGTAAGTGAAAATTTTGATTCGACTGAATTCTCTTAGCTTCATGATTAAGCTATATACACAAGAGAAAGCAATCTCATCTAACATCACTCTTCTCAATTACGAATCTCTTCAGTTATTTCCAATTAACTTTCAATACATCATCTTATCTCAAATAGTAAACTATAGTCAATCTTAAACCCATTATATACAGATATGTCACTTTTCAAAATATAGAAATCATCCAATAAACTGTGCTGTATTCATTACATTTTATATTTTGTAAAACTTATAGATTTTTACTTGAAGATCAACTAACAGGTCCTTGCAGTATTGAAGGTTATCAAAGAGCACTTCTTTCAGGATGTCGATATATTGAACGTAAGTAAATTTGTGTAATTATGTTTAATCGATAAACATGTTCTATGAACAAAGTTTTTGTTTTTCATCAAAGATTATTTTTAAATAGTCTTTGATAATTTATACCTTTTTTCATCTTCACATGAATAGGATAATATGCATTTGGTTATTTGTTCTCTGAAGAAGTGACCTACACTAAGTCACGAAACGTCAGAAAATCCAATTTTCTACTCATTGGGATATTACAAATATATTATTTTTATTTATAATATGCATTACCTTTGCCCTAGTTTATGACATTTATGTGATGATAACATTACTAACAATAAAAACGTTAAAATATGAAAAACAATGAAATATTGATGATTAAATCGTCGAGTTTTATAAGGCATGGATTGCTTGAAGTTAGATGTGAACATCGTTGGATGTTAGCTCAATGTTCTAGAAGAGATCAAACGTTCCCATGTGAAATCAAAGGTTTTAGATTCGAATTCCATGTGCATACTTGTGAATGCTCACTCCCTTGAGGAGTCCCTATACTAAAATGAAATGACTGTTCAGTACATGAAAAATTAAAGAAAATAAATCATAACTTATGTTACATAATCAATTTGTTAGAATTGATCATATTCAATCATTTCATAGTGATATTTATAAAATGAAATAAGCAAATACACCATTATAATATACAGTTTTGACATTTATTATAGTTACAAAATGGGTAAACATTTTAAGATAAATCACTTTTTTCATAGTTCATATAGATTTATTATAACCAACATGAAAATAGCATGTGTTTAAGACTGTGATCGATCAGTTTGTTATTGGTATATATGCATTCTATACAGATTGCCTTGATATGTCCTCAAATCACAAGTATTATAAACAAAGATGATGATGGCTGACAGTGGAATCCAGTGTGATGTGGGTTTCATCCTATTTGAGACTCGTCAGAAGGATGTATCTGTATCCAAGAGTTGATGTTCACTTCATCAATCGAACTCAACCTTGAAGTGAATATCAACTTTGGGATGGAGTCATATCTAGCTGGCGATTCCTAAATAGGATGAGACGCGTGTCCTGAATTCCACGGCCAACCAACATCATCTCCGCTTTATATATTCTCTTAGAAATTTCATTTGTATCATTCAGTGTAATAGTAGACTAAGTGCGGTTAAATTATGACTACTACTTAGATAATATCTAAATAGTGAATTTTAAACGGTCATGGTTTCCTACTATCAGTGTTCACTGGATCAGAAACGTTTGTGTCATATATGTCATCAAGCTCTTGATTCAAGAATTCGAATACTCCTTCATATTTATTTAAGTTCACATGCACATGTTGACTTTTTCAGTTCAATAGAATTTGATGTAACCATTTATATGATGCTTGGTCTGATAGAAAATCATTAGCTTAGTCCTCCAAATGACATTTTCAGATCATTAAATGTGTTGTTTACCGGATGTTTCCTTCTCTGTATGGCAACCGAACGAAAAATTTGGTAAAGACCTCAGATACCATCTACGATAATAGTTCAACGAAAATGTATTCATGAAATTAAAATAACCTTATACTTCATTTCTTTCATTTTATCAAATCTGGTTATAGTAATATTTCATATACTATCATATGTAACATTCTGATAAAATAAATTGTCGTTTACATTCTTCAAGTACCTAGCTAATATCTACTGTTTTCAGTATTTACACAAAGAAATTTAAATTGATATCATGAATGGATCACTATTAGACCACCAATGAAAACTTGGAAGCACTGGACGACCATTTTTTTTAATATGGGACTCGTAAGCAGTGCGCATCCGCGATCCCTCACGTGAGACTCGAAAACAGGATTTGTGGTCTCGATGGTGATCTAACATTGATCTATTCATGATATTAATCTAAACTCAACAATCTCCACAGCTGTATACTAAGAAAGTAATTTAACTTCAAATTTTTAGTCAAACTACAATAAACGTTTATGATAAACCTTCCACTGTTTGTAAGCAAATACTTTCACAACGATGAAACGTTTTGTTCACTTTACTTAATTTGTTTTATGTACACTTTTAGTTGAAGTCTATGATGGTCATGATGGTCATCCAGTTGTTAGACGTGCCAACTCTCGACCACCTGGTATACCAATACAAGCTGTATTAAATACAATACATGATTTTGCATTCATACGTTCTGAGTAAGTTAATTCTATACACTTGTAGTATTATTTAAATTTTAAAAAATATTCAGCTTCTATTTTAATATTACTACAAATTTTTGTCAAGGTACTAACTGAAATCAGAGATTACTGCAAAGATATTTTGTCCTAGAACAGAACTATCTAGTAGCAAACACACAGCAATATATCAAGAACTGGAGACAGGACATTTAAATCTCTTATCAAGTGGTTAAGCTATGGATGATTATTGGATTGAAGCTCAATGGACTATATTGGGGATTTCAGTCAAATCATCTAATACTTCGATGAATATCCAATGTTACTGATAATAAATGTAACACTCCAGATAAATAATTGAACTCATTTAGTCAAAACTTTCCACTAGAACCTTCGTTCAAAGTTAATGATTAGTGAACATTGAAACAATGAGCATTGAATCATTATTATTTAATAGTTGAGATCATGAGTCAATTGAAGCTAGACCACCATGGAAAACCTGAAAGCACTGGACGGCTGTTTCGTCCTATTGTGGGGATCTTCGGCAGTGCACATCCACGGTCTTGCCTCTCGAGATCCAAAACCAGGGCCTATCAGTCACACACTCGAACGCTTAACCTCTAGATCACTGTTTATTTTCTGTTATACTTACGATATTAATTAAATACGAAGTTACTTCTCATTTAACTATACAAATCCTACAATTCTATTGTTTTGAGATAACTAATTAAGTATGAAACAACACTGAAATAAAGACTGAAGAAGTTTGGATTCGATTCACGGTCCGACACAGACCGTGACCAGTGGAGATAATCCGTGTCGAGTAGAAACAGGTATTTACCTCAGTACCATGAAAGATCGTCGCGCAATTCGGTGGATTGGTTGGGGTTACACATTAGCACCGTTGGATGTCGGCTCAGTGGTCTAGAGGTTAAGCGTTCGCGCGCGTGACTGATAGGCCCTGGGTTTGAATCTCGCAAGGTGAGATCATGGATGCGCAGTGCTGGGGAGCCCGACAACAGGACGAAACATCCGTTGAGTATTTCCAGGTTTTCATTGATGGTCTAACATCAGTCGGTTAATGATCTCAGTCAAAAATTTATTAATCTCCACAACCCTATACTGATAATTTTCCTTTTACCTCTCTTCAAAATTATGTTCCTTATCTTTAGTTTTGTCACTTTCAATGATTTATTTTCTTGATAATTTTCTCCTCTCATTTTAATAATATGAAGTGTATTATCTTGGATTAATACACACATATGCTCGATTCTATATTATTCACTACTGTGTATCACATTCTGCAGAATAGTATCATATTATTGTTTAAAATGTTTGACTTTGAATCAATCTGGTGAAAAACATCGAATCTTACAACGTTTATTTTACATACAAAAGCCGAATTCTTACATCAACCTGTAACTAAGCTTCTTAAAAACAACTAATATTTAAACAAAATGTACATGATGTTCTGCTTAAACTTTTAAATGACCAAATTTTCTACAAACACATTACCATATATCTGACTATTTTAGATTTCACTAGTTGAAATCATGAGTCAATTGAAGCTAGATCACCATGAAAAACCTTGGAAGCAATGGACGGCCGTTTCATCTTAGTATTTTAGATTTCCTTTTTATTAACTAATTATATCTGTCAGTTATATATCAAATGTTTACAATCTACATACAAATCTAATTACTAAAGAATTTCAAAGCATATAAGTCGCAAACTTTTACTCTTACATGATATTTTAGACGAATACCAGTCAATGTCTACACTATTCATACATTAAAGATATTCAATGATTGAAGCAAAAACGATCGTAAACATTCAAGGATGAAATATAAAGAACAGTTAATCATCATTTAGAAACTATTTATAATAATGTGAATGAATAATATTGAGAAACCTATTTATCTTGTGTACATAATGGTATATTTATCAATTGCCTAAATAGTCACTTATCAATCACTGTATTGATACTCCAAATTTAGTCACTTCTAGTTAGAATTGTGACAGTTATCATTGATAATAATAAACAAAGTTTGTATAGTAATACAAACTGACTACAGTTGAAAATGTGTATTATTCAATCTGATTTATTCATCTTGAAATGATTTGAATCATGAAGGTTTTGTCATCAATTCCTGTTGTGTCATAGATATCCATTGCTGAGAAAACATACATTAGATTAAACTAAATTATGGACGAATAGTTTATAATGTTATTTATTATTTACTATTATTTATTTTAACACATAGATATTGGTACAAGAAGGCACCAAATAGATATACGCCACATAAATCATTCGATTTATGTGAGGGCTGTGATACTGCCTGGGTGCCCAAACCGGAGCAGGTGGTTCTCTTAGGGGACCACACTCGGAGCCTTCGACCTGAAGGTCTGATCCACAAGGCAGTGGAGCGTCGTAAGGAGATGCAGTAACATGGTAGCCAGTGACCAACGATTGGTTCATACGCCATTTGTTCTTTCAGGATACTAAAGCCAGCCCATGTGCACCATTTGTTTAGAATCAGGGTTTTCCAACCAAATTCCCTAGGTGAACTCTCCATGTCCAGCAACCCGGTCAAAGCGCCGGACATCCACTCTTCGTCTTATTAATTTCGTCAACAACACCGCCACGAGAAGGCAGTGAGTAGGAATTCCCTGGCAGAGGCTATATACGCGTGTCCATGTGAGAGCATTTCGAGAGGGAGAGCGGAATTTAACACTCTCGGTCGTACTAGGGCATTTGGAGGCTTTTAATGTTATATCAACGGCTAACAATTTTTCTACAAAAACCACTTAAAAATGTTCAATTCAAAAGATTTAGTCTTTTTTTATTCACTTTCTTTTCATTTTATGCAAATTCACTTGGTATTGTTTATTTGAATCTTTCCATTGAGGTTTAAGACTGTTATTGATCTGTCTGTTATTGGGATATGTGCATACTGTGCGAATCGCCTCGATATTGCCTTAATTCACAAGCTTTATAAGCAAAGACGGTTTGGTGGTTGCCAGTAGGATCCACTTTGACGCGCATTTCGTCCTATTCGGGACTCGTCAGTTGGATGTACCTCCACCTCAGAGTTGATATTCACTGTGGAACTCGAACCCAGTACCACTCGCTTAAAACGCCATCACGTTATCCATTCAGCTACTGAGTCATGATAGCTACTTGCTTGTGAAATGAGGTGAATTTAAATTCACAGTATGTACATATGCCAATAAGAGACTGATCAATTGCAGTCCTAAACAATAATGGAAACATTCAAGTAAACACAAAGTCAAGTGAATTTAAACTTCAACCAATTGCACAAGCAAGCGGCTATCAGGACTCAATAGCTAAGTGGATAACACGATGGCGTTTGAAGCGAATGCTACATGGTTTGATTCCCAGAATGAACGTTAACCCTCACATGCAGGAATATTCAACTGACGAGTCCCAAATAGGATGAAACGCGCATCAAATTATATTCTATTGTTAACCACTATCCATTTTTACTTCTTTTATGCAAATGTTTTATTTTTTAAAACAAAAATAGTTTTTGAATGATTTTGTAAAATGATACAGAAGTTTCTTTAGATTATCCATTTATGTTTATGGGATATTTTATCATCATAAAATAATATCGGTAGAATACATTTAATAAGAAAATTCTTAAATAATCAATTGTACACAATTAACTTTTTTTCTATTTGAATAGATTAGTACATTTTAAGGTACATAGAAACACCACATATGTACATATTAACAGATATAGGTACATATATATGTATATCCCAATTAAGGGAAGTACATATTATTGTATAGATTATGTTATTGAAATGATTGATTTGAACTTTTATTTTTTAAAAAAAAAACTTATGCGGTTATCAATCAACCTTAAATTATCTATTTACTTGTATTGATTTATTGTCTGGGAAATATTGGGAAAACAAAGAGAAAATATACAATTATAGTAGTCAAGTAAAAATCCCTAGTGATTTGAAATATTTTTTTGAAAAAAAGAATTTGTAATAAAATGCCAAAAGAAAAAAAATAAGGTTTATATGGAATGATGTGGGTAATAATTAAGATCTATAATGTTCTTTTTTGCTTTATCTTAGAACTCATCAGCTAGATGTACTTAAATCTTATGTTTAGTGTTCATTGCGGGACTGGAATCCATTATCTTTCACTTTAAACACTAATTCACTATTGATAAGAACTAGATTATACTGCTGAGAACATTTCTGTTTTAATTTACGACTATGAAACGTGGACATTAATAGATGAAGATACTCGTAAGTTACTAGTATTTGATCATAGATGGCTTAGAAATATTGCTCCCATCTTCTGGGATCACTGGATAAGTAATAATGAAGCTAGATACAGGGTATTAGGGAATGATGGTAAATCAGTTGATGAGGTTGTGAATCTTCATCGACCGATATGGTTGGTCCACATACTACGTATGCCTGGACACCGATTACCACCATGCTCAATGCTGACTAGTGTTGGGGATGGTTGGAAGAATGTTATGGGCGGCCAAACCAGAACATGGCATCAGTGCTTGAAGTCATTAACTTGTAGTCTTAGCCATGTTGGTAGATGCAGATTGCTTGGTTGGGGTCCACGTGACTATCGTAACCAATGATTGAATAGTCTGTGTGACGTAGCTGAGAATCGATCACAATGACGTAAGTGTATCCACTTTATGTCTTCCCTTAAACCGAGAGATTAAAATCTCTTCATATCTTTATTTCTACGAACTAATTCTTTCTTCCTATACTATATCCGTATCTGTAATCTTTCATTTATATATTACCAACATTGAATTCTCTACTTCTATGAATCCGGTGTTCATCTTGCTGTGCTAATGAGGTATGGCAACTTGGACAGATGCATATATGTGCCTGGTCCTACGTTGTAGCTGACTGACTGAGCTATTTCGAGATAATGCATATATGATACACATATGCCAACTAAGACTAATCAAAATTCAGTAAAATTGTCAATAGCGAGATTATCCAAACTTTTACAAATTACAGATTAGACTGATTAAAAAAATGATTAGAACCCTTAAGTACTGAACGGCTATTTAGTCCTAGTATGGGACCGTTCAGTAGTGCTTATCAACTTTAGTTGGTTAGTTTATCATAGGGATTGCTTTGAAGGTTTATTAAAAGTATTCCGTCTTAATACTAGTTAAATATTGTGAACATTTTCTAATGACTCTCGATATGTATATCTTTCCATTAATTATTATAGATATCCAGTTATTGTATCAATTGAATGTTATGCAACTCAAGCACAACAACGTGTACTAGTCACATTCTTACGTTGTTGTCTTGGTAATCGTTTATTATTACCAAATTCAGAATTCACTTTTAATTTAAGTGAATCACAATTAGAAATTGAAGAGCAAGTTGAAAAGACAAAACTACATTCTATGATGAATAATATTAATCTGAATAATAAAAACAATCGTAAAAATAGTCTAACAGTGGTTGATTTAAAAAATGAATCAACAGTATACACATCAAATGGTTCTTTTGTAAGATGGCCATCACCACGTGATCTTATGGGACGTATTTTATTGCAAGGTAAACGATTACCAAAGGGTACCACAATGAATACATCAGGTAATGAGTCAGAAAAATGGATGAATGGTGGTTTGCCTAATTTAAGACGTGTATTTAATTCATTATATGTAAGTCAATGACATTTTTATTTATTTATCTTAATTTGTTTGTTGCTTGTTTATTCGTAAATCAAGTTATACGTTAGTGGATTGGAAAAGATCTGATTCACAGTTTGCTATAAAATATCACTGTAAATATCAATTGTTTGTCCATTATTTCGTAAGATTTACTACTGAAGTCATTTAAGTAACATCATTTGTATAATAAACAAGTCATCAGATCTACTCGGAATGCTGATTGTGAATATAAATAAGCTAACGATCAGTAGGTTATATTGTACTTAAATGCCTTTTATTTTGTTTTAATCTGAAAGTAATGGTCCGCCACTAACTAATAAATGAAAGTTATGTTCATTGTTGTCTGTTATACTGGGTAAATATCCCTACACATTCAACAGAGATTATTCACAAGTTTCTATCTCTAAATATCATCATCTTGCTAGATCACACTGCTAATCACATGATGTAGCTTCAAACTGTTTCGTTTTATTCTCGAAATCCAAAATTATCTTAAAAGTATTACACTGAGATGAATAGATACAACAAAAAGATGAAATGATAAAACAGCTAATGAGTAAGACTTTTGAGTATTTTTTTGAAATTTCATATACATAGTTCCCTTTATCATTTTGAAAAGACCAAGAACAAAGAGTCTAGCAGAATAGCATGAATCTCACGGAGGGGCGGGATCGTGGATGCGCACTGCTGAGGAGTCCCATACTAGGACGAAACGGCCGTCCAGTGCTTCCAGGTTTTCCATGGTGGTCTAGCTTTAATTAACTCATGATTTCAACTATTAAAATATCATGAATTCATTTTTATTTCGTAGGTTCTCGTCAGCTGCTTTTACAACCTGTGATATTTAAAATTATAATTACATAATGGGTTTAAATTACTTACATGAAAGAGTTTGATTGAAAGTTATATTGAAGGCATATTCGGATAGTATAGCAAGGGTGTAAATAAAATATTGTAACTATATACCTTATGTGACAGCAGTTCAACGGGCTAGAAACAATTGATTACATAATGAATAGGAATATAGTGAGTAGAGTTCAGCTGATAAAGTAAGATTATTAATTTGGAAGATAATTGAAATAAACTCACTGATGTAATAAATGTGAGAGTTTAAAGAAAACGAAAAAAAACTTCTTTGAGATGTAGCGAAAGAGCATTTGTCACCAAGGTAAGGAAAGATCAATAACCATCTCCTTTTAAACACGTAGGTCAGGTTTTGAATATTAAAAAACTCAGATAGTACATGGTTTTTCTCACAAATTGGAATATTATAAGAAGGAAGTGATATTGATTTAAACAGAATTTTATAAAGTAATTAGTCCCTTTAATTAATTATCCATGTCTCCAGTTTGTATATTTGGTTAATAATATAAACGTATGGTTATAAAATATTAGTCTTTTCTTGTTATACACCTAAGATAGAACTTCTAAGAGTACATTAACCTAAACTACAGAGAAAAATGTTAGTGATGAAAAGTGAAGCAAACACGTTTTTCCCAACCCCTAGTATTTTACTGGTATCATTTCCACTGAAATTATTCCCTAAACATTCTTTCAACACCAGTCACCTGTACCTTGAACTTACACTTAAGCAAACATAAAAGATCAGAAACACTCAGTGTTTTTACCAACAGAGAAGCTCAACGACCAATCAAAGTTAATAATATTAATAATTTCAATGTTTAAACTAATTTAAGTCATTTTGTGATGCGAAACTGTGCAAATTACAAGTTGCCATAACCTCCTATGCTGAAATACTTAATTAGTTCTAAATCACTTGCTTACTGATGAGGAATCTAAGTACTGATCACATGCGAACCATTTTAGTTAAAGCTTTCGCAGGATATGCTCAGAAATAAGAACAGGAACTATCATATTCTATTGTCGAGTTGTACATGTTTTAATCCGTACACGTAAATTGATAGCTTAAATCATGAGTGATCTTATCCACATCAATTGAAACTGTTGATTGATATAAGCAAACTTGGATGGTGGCTGGCGGTGTAATCCATGACGCGCTTTTCGTCCTGTTTTGAACTCATCAGTTGAATGTACTCGTTCGCATCACTCCGGTACTCTAACTCAGTACCATTCATTTCGAACAACATCTCATTATTCACTTAGGTATAACATCCAGTTAGGAACTAGTTTGTGCATTGTGGTGAAGTTTAACTCATTTATATCGGTTGTTAAAATCTTTTTAGGACTGCAATTAATATTACATTAAGTTACAAAGATTATAAGCAGAGATGGATAGTGGGTACAAATGAAATCCAGAATGCTCATAGTACTAGCTAAGTGGATAATGTAACGGCGTTTGAAACGAACAGTACTGGGTTTGAGTCACGGAGTGAACATCAACTCTGAATGACAGGCAAATCTAACTGACGAGTTCAAAGTACGATCAAACACTGGTCCGGTATTTCATTCCTACTCATCATCTATCTCTGCTTATAATTTTTGTGCAATATTGGCGCGGTTCTCATAGGATGTACATATACTAAAAGTGTTCTAAACATCCATGAGAAGATTCAAACAAATTCTAATAAGAATAACACTAGTAAATTGATTTTGTAGCAGAAACCAAGACAAAGAAATATGTTGTCAACTTTGTTACATTTAATCTTTTGTTACAGACTTCTCATCAAGAAACACCTGTTATTAGAGAATTATCTGATATGTTTTTCTTCGATACAACTAATTATGAACAGATTACAAATAATGATTCAATAAGAGGTAAGTTGTAAATATTAGAAAACTTTATATTTTGATGAGCATTATTGTTGTTGTTTAATTGTGATTAATTTACTAACTATACGTTGTTTTAGTAAAGTGTACAATTTAGTTATTTTACTGAATACCTGTTGAATAAGTGAAATAAGACTTGTGCAATTCACATTAAATGCAATACTTACGCTTACTATTCCTCATGAATGAGCATGGGCCGCTCACCAGCATTCTTCATTCAACCCTGCCCTGGGCAATCCTTTCCAGATCTTTCCAGTTGTTATTCATACTTTTCATATCTGATTCTATTTCCCGATGTAATGTGTTCTTTGGCCTTCCTCATTTTCGCTTCCCCTCAGGATTCTAGGTTAAGGCTTGTTTCGTGATGCAGTTTGATGATTTCCGTAATGTATCTCCTATCCATTTTCATCGTCTTTTCCTAATTTCTTCTTCAATTGGAAGTTGGTTTGTTCTCTCCCACAGTAGGCTGTTACTGATGGTATCCGGCCAATGGATGTTGAGTATCTTGCGTAGACAACTATTTATAAATATTGCACCTTCTTGATGATGATTGTAGTAGTTCTTGAAGTTTCATTTCCGTACAGTAGAACCGCCTTGACGTTCGTGTTGAAGATTCTGACTTTGGTATTGGTTGACCGTTGTTTTGAGTTCCATATGTTCTTCAATTGTAGGACTGATGTTCTCGCTTTTCCCTGGGTTCGAATCCCGCGAGCGGGATCGTGGATGCGCACTGCTGAGGAGTTCCACAATGGGACGAAACGGCCGTCCAGTGCTTCCCATATAAAATGCTATTATGGAATATAAAAACGAATCCACTACTTTGAAAACGATCTTCTCTTAAGTTAATTTCAAATTATACTGAATATAAACAAGTAAAATATTTATTAATGGACAAAATTAAAAAAGACGATGTCATGCTTGAATAGCTGGGTTACCTGTTCCTGACATCTAAATATTGTAACAAGATATCTGTTTTTGTTTGTATTAATACAAAGATGGATAGTGGCTAGCAGTTGAATTCAGTTTGACTCGCGTTTCGTCCCATTTGGAACTTGTCAGATCGATGTACCTCCATCTCACAATTAATGTTCCCTCTGGAACTCGAACCTAGTACGATTCGCTTTAAACTCCATCGCGTTATATTGAACACGTATACTAAATACAGTGATTGTTATATTTCAAGTCATAAGTGGAATAATATTGTGTTGTAAGATTGTAGGCCAGTACTCTCAAGAATTCTCAAAACTGAGCGAGAATATTGTCTGCTTGTATTTACTTTACATTTGATATTTTTTATGGTATAAATATTTGTAGACTACAATGTTTATTTCTCATCAGTAAAATGCACGAAGCTTTTCAACACCATACATTATGTAACATCCTTCGAAAAGCAAATTAATGTTTTCTGTTAGAGAGTTGATAAAGAATATAAAATGTGCACGTTCGAGAGTACTACCTCTTTTCCAGTAAGTTTACTTTCACTGATTTACACTTTCAACTTTCGACTATTAGAAGGATTGAACAACTGTCGTTCATCACTTACTGATGACAACATTTTGAAGCGTTGGATTGTTCACTCACTAATAGGGAACATGAGTTGGGTTTAGACTGTCGTGAGACAAGTTAGTTTTACCCTACTAATGAGTATATCAGTGAAGTACAATCTGGCCGTTTCTATGGTAATTCTGTTTAGTACAAGAGGAACCACAGGTTCAGATAATTGGTATATATGCCTAATCGAAATGCCAATAATACGAAACTACCATCTGAACTAGTTGAATTCTATCTGTGAGGATGATCCATGGGTGAACTTAAGGAAGCTCTAAGAAGCTCAGAAAGATCGGAATAAATTCCATCTAATCATCTTTTGGAAGAATATTCCATAATTCCCACGTGTATCTTCCCTATTGGACAAATGCTAATAACCCCCTTTTTGCGGATTGAATAACTATAATGATGATTTCGTTTTTACTAAAAAACTAAATACTTGATATTTTTGTACCATAATTGACACTGTTTGGAATAACATTCCTTTCACTTTTATTTTCGACTTGAGAGGGTTCTGGTGTTCAAGTGCTCAAGCTATACACGGTAAATCAAGAATCCAAGTTCTAGATATAACACTATCAGTAAGAGCTTTTCACTAATTCTATAAGAATTCCTTTCAAAATAAGTTAGTAATAAGTTCATGATTGTTATAAACAAAAGATTCTTCACTTGGTATTGTTTGGCTTGTATCTTCCTATTGAGGTTTAAGACTGCAATTGATCAGTCTGTTATTGGCATATGTGCATACTGTGCGTATGCCTCGATATTGTCTTAATTCACAAGCTTTTTGTAAGCTATGATGGATAGTGGCCCGCAGTGGAGTACAAAACGTGCGTTTCGTCCTATTTGGGACGTCCTACTGAGGACTCAGTAGCTGAGTGGATAACGCGATGGCGTTTGAAGAGAATGATACTGGGTTCACGTTCCAGAGTGAACATAAACTCTATGAGATGCAGGTACATCCAGCCGACGAGCCTTAAACAGACCGAAACGTGCGTCCTGGATCCCACTGCTAGCCACTATCAATCAATGCTTACAAAAGATTCTTCAGTTTATGATTTACATTACAGACAATTCGAAATAGAACAAAATGGAACAATCTTTAAACATTTCATATACCATTTTTTTGATATTCATTTATTTAAAGCCATATTCTATTCTTCCTTATTTTAGCTAATATATCACTTAATATGAATCGTACAATGTCATCATTTTCAACACTATCAACATCTCATGGATTAAAAAGAGATGTCAAACATGATCATTCACCTAATAATACACATAATAATTCATCCACATCACCAGTTGTTATTGTTGGTAGTACACATACAGAAACTAATCATCAACAACCTAAAATGATCCTAAAACATTTTCAATATCAATCTAAAGCTAAATTAGATTTATATGATCATTCTAATTTAAAAGATAAACGAAATATAAATATTAAAAGTATTACAAATAATTATAATAAAATTAATATGAACAATACTACTATTACTACTACTGATAATACTACTAATAAACAATATAATCAAGATAATATACATTTACATCCATATTATATAATAATTATGTCTGAATCAGAAGCATCTCGTGCAATTGGTACTAATGCTAGTGATTTAGTACAATTAACTAGAAATTCATTAATACAAATTTGTCCAAGTTTATCTAGAGCTGATAGTAGTAATTTAAATCCATTAGATATATGGTCATGGGGTGGACAAATTGTAACATTAAATTATCAAACAGCTGGTTTAATTATGGATTTAGCTACTGGATTTTTTGCACGTAATGGTGCTTGTGGTTATGTATTAAAACCAAATTTATATCGTCAATTTTCATCATTTTTTACACCATATAAAACAAATTTATTAAATATTACTGAAAGACCACCAGATACTACACCACAGGTATTCGATTATTAATTTATTTTGATTATTTATAAACTACTTGTTATAACTTATAACTGCTAATTAGAGGGCAATGACTTATGAGTAGCCTAAAGTTCTGATTGGCCCTGCTTCTTGCCTAGCCTAGTCAGTTGAGTCCAGAACGTAAGTCTCAGCCTCTGAGATATGAATCCTTATATTTCAAACATACTGAGTTTATATAACAATCAAACAGACCACAACGTACCAATAAAGTATGAATCAACATTTGTACAAGAATTAACCAGATGTGGCTGTGAATGAAGGTGGTAGTAATTAATATACTGGTTATAACTCAAGAATGGTAAAACATATAATAATAGTTTATAGTTAAGTGGTGGTTAAGTGCTCGCGCGCGAAACCAATAAGTCCTGGGTTCGAATCTCGCAGGGAGAGAGGTCATGGATGCGCACTTCTGAGGAGTCCTATAATAGGACGAAACGGCCGTCCAGTGCTTTCAGGCTTTCCATGGTGGTCTAGCTTCAACTGACTCATGATCGTAACCATTGAAATAGTTTATAGGTCAAAATAAAGCTTATAATAAGAAAAATATGAATATGCATAGTTTAGTTACTTAATAATTATACAATACAAATAAACGTTTAGTATTGGTCCATAAATGAATCCCAGAAGTCACCATTCATTATTCTTGTCGGGCATAGAACTTCTAAAATACTGTTTATTATAATGATTTAATTCATCAAATACAATATTGAAACGATTACTTTCTCATTAGAGGTCAATTGCCCAATATTCTAAACGAATGGATTGCTATAAAGGTAGGGAAATATTATGATTGTGTGCTTAAGATACCCAATAGATTAGCTAGATTGATATTATGAATTATATAATCAAATAATGAACGCTAATATAAACCAAATGTTTTAGTATGAAATTTCACAGCAGTGAACATCCACGAACTATCCTGCAAACAGGAATCAAACTCAGAACCTTCAATCTTACACAAAAACGCTCCTATGCCGTGATCCAACTGTGTACAAGTCTGATAATTGACTCATAGTGTCTCCTCCTTTTTAGTGAGTGGACAAGTGATCAAGAAGAACAGTTATTTTATGAAATAAAATGATAAATTTGTGAGGAAAAATACTAAACATGAAAGTAAAAGCAATCAAAATTCATTCAAAACAAAAATGATTATAGAATACGGTATATTGTAGGCAATCCATTGATCTATTTAAATGAAGATGGGATGATGAAATTTTTAATGAGCAATTTTAATAGATGGCTGTAATTTTTTTAAAATGATGAATGTTACTGATGAGTCCCAGTAGGGATACCAGGGAGCACATGTTAACTATCTTGTCCCATAATATGGCTTTGCATTAGTGAGCACGCACAAGTTCTCTAGGAATGAAACTCAGGATTTCCAGAGAATCCAGCTGGTCACAAGCCTTGATTAATAACTATGATTTAACCAGACTTTCACCTAAGCATAACTATTTGGTCACTCGGAGTTTGCAAAAAGGTTAATTCTTGATATTCCGGTGCTCATTCTTTACTATTATTCAACGATTTTAAGAAGTATAAAGTTTATCACCGAGTCACTAAACGATTGACATACAACACCGTGGAACGCCTCAATGCCCCATTGGATTCCAATTCACCAGCCCAAAATTTAAGCACATGATAGGAAGACATTAGTTTCGTTATTTGATGGGGTCATCCGTATATACTGCTGAGCAGTCACAATATAGGAAGTAACAGCTATTCTCTGTGCTCCCCGATTTTCAGTGCCAAGTCAGAACAAAATCCACCTGCAGATAGAGCTAATTATTACAATTTATTTGAAATGAAATAATAAAATATTATTTTCAGTTACACTGAATATTTTATCTAGGTACTTCGACTGAAAATTGTCAGTGCACAACAATTACCTAAACCGAGGGGATCAGTTTCAAAAGGGGATACAATTGAACCATATGTTGTGGTAGAAATTCATGGTATTCCAGTGGATTGTGCTGAACAACGTACTGTCACCGCACCAGCTGGTAGTGCATCCGGTTATAATGCAATATTTGAGGATACTTTTGAATTTTGTGTACAGTTGGGTAGTCTGGCATTAGTACGCTTTGTCGTACTAGATGATCATGCAATTGGTGATGATTTTATAGGACAAAATACAGTACCATTTGATTGTTTACTTACAGGTAATTGAAGAATTTTTCAATTTTCATATCGTAAACTATATTTGTGAATATTTTCATGAAATTATGATAACACAGTTATGTTAGTTGAAGAAATATTTCAAAAACTAAACAACTGCTTCCCGGGAATTATTTTTTTGCCTTAGTTGTATTAAATGCGGGTGACTGCCCCCGAATGCCCTGGTACGGCCGATAGTGGGGAGAGTCCGCTCTCCTCGAAATGCTCTCATAGGGCCACGCGTATATAGCCTCTGCCAGGGAAGTTCTACTCACTGCCTTCTCGTGGCATTACTGTTGTTTACGAAGTTGAGTGGACGAAAAGAGAATGTCCGGCGCTTTAACTGGTTTCCAAACCAATGGTGCACATAGGTTGCCTCCAGTATCCTAGGTGAACAAATGGCGTATGAACCAACTGTTGGTCACTGGCTACCATGCGACTGCATCTCCTAACGATGCTCCACTGCCTTGTGGACCAGACCTTCAGGTCGAAGGCTCCGAGTGTGGTCCCCTAAGAAAACCACCTGCCTCCGGGCAGTATCACAGCCCTCACACATATCGAATGAGATTTTTGTGACACATATGTATTTGGTGCCTTCTTGTACCAATATTTATGTGTTAAAATAAATAAATAAGTTGTGTTAAATACTCGAAACCTCAGATTTTCCAGCAGCCAAAACACTCTTCTGCACAGTGTACATGTAATCATGATAGGATTGATATTGGTATAAAGAGTCGAGTCCCTGCGATAGTTCAACACAAATAATAAACTCTTTTGGTCATGTTTGACCAACTATCGACCTGAAATCACTTTATCAACTCATTTTTTAATAATCAATATCATACTATCTAATCTTGAGCGCTGATGGAACTTCACCAACCAAATTGTGGTCTGATTATTACGTTTTGTTGCTAAAGTGTTAAAAATGATTAATTCGACAACTTGAACCTTAGTTTTATGCTACCTGGGTTCCAGTTTTCTAAGATTCATAGAATACATCTTGTTAGTGAGTGCTAGCCACTAGATAAATCTGTTCTAGGACTTGACTGTTGATTACTTGTAGAAATATTTAACATTTGAACACAGCAAACCAAAAATCAGCAGCAGTCAGAATAACTCACTGGTACCATATCAGGCTGTTAAGTTAGATAAACCATATTCGTATCCCACAGGAGCCATCACTTCCTGCAAGATTGTAGATATGCCTTTCTGAAAAGCAGCAATTATCACGAAACCTAAATTGAAGCTTTTCTACCGATTATCTCCAACCACCTAACAAATCATACTCATTTTTATTGAATCATTTAATAAAGTATAACCATTTTACGTTTTTAATTCATAGAATCCTATTAGTGTTATGAATTAGGCAAAAAACAAAGACACTACAAAAGAGATCAAGTGATCACTTGCTCACTAGTGACTGACTTCAGGAGATACCCCTGGAGTTCTGGTGAGAAGCCGTTAAGAGTGGAGTTCAACCAGGTCTGTTGTGAGATAGTAACTCACCGAAGACAATGGTGTACGGTGGCGCAACTTCGTGTATTGGTTGAAGTTAGACGTTAACACCACTGGATGCCGGCCCAGTGGTCTGGTTGGTTAAGCGCCTGGCGCGAGACTGATAGGTCCTGGGTTCGAATCTCGCGTGGGGCAGGATCGTTGGTGCTCACTGCTGAATAGTCCCATACTAGGATGAGTCGGCCGTCCAGTGCTTCCATTGCTTCAAATAAATTGAGCATTAATTATTCCAATAAGTAGAAACATTGTATTTCTAATGTTTAATGACTTAAATAAATAAACGAACATTGAATTAACACAAGTTTAAATAGTACAAAAGAAAAACAATGATTGTTTCCTGAAGAAGTAGCGTATATTAAGTCACGAAACGTCAGAAATACAATTTTTATATTCATTAGAATATAACAAAAAAACATATTTATTATAAAACCAAGTATTGTCGATCATAGGTGTCTTGCTCGTATATCCTGGGACCACCAGATAAATAACTTAGTCGTTAAGAAACGGGTGCTAGGTAGAGATAGCAAATCAGTTGATGAAGTAGTGAACCTTCATCAGTTGAGATGGCTCGGACACTTGTTACGTAGACCTAACCACCGACTGTCCTGACGTGTGATGTTTCATGGTGTCGAATAGTGTAGTTTGGGAGAAAATTAGCGGCGGCCAGACCAAAACATGGCACAAGTCCATGGAGTCACTGACAAGTGGACTGAGTCATGTTGGTAGGTTTGGACTACCTGATTTGGATCCGCGAGATGATAGCAATCAATGGCTACAGATTTTGAATGACATGGCTCAAAATCGTTTGCAATAGCCGAGGTGCATCTACTCTTTGTGTCCTCCCAATTTATAATCTTCTGAATTCTTCATGTCCCTATTTTTCTCTTTCCAAATTCATTTCACTGGATTATACTCCTTCAGTAATATCTTCAAGCTCTAATGTTTCCGATTACTGTTTATACTCTTACCACCTCTACCACTATGGGATTTGAATCGACAATTGCATCTTTGTGCTAATGTGATATGGCAATTCGAACTTATGTACATACGTACGAAGTTCTACATTGTTCCTGACTGACAGACGACCATTTTCTTTATTCTTTTATCTTATTCTATATCTTAATTTCTTATGATTTTATCTATTTATTTATTTCATAATTGTTTTCATCATTAGATTTTGTTTATATATTTTTTCTAATATGTTGTAACCATTATGATTATTTCTCATACCTTAGAGATAAGAAAATCATATTCATATCATTATGGATTTATTTTTTGTTACTTTCACTATCCCTTCATCTCCCCCCCCTCATTCATGTCAACTTCCCATAGATTTCTAAAAATTCTTTCAATTTTGAACGTATCATCACTTTTTTTTGTTGTTGCTTTCTCTTATCAATAAACATGTGAATAATTCCGTTTATCATCATTTTGTGTAAATGCTAGTGATTTTGTTTACAATAGATTAGAGAGGAATACCATACAATTAAAGGATTTATGTAGATATGGTATATTTATTTGTAGTTGATTAAACACACATTAGTTGCATTCTAAATTACATTCAGATTGTATATAATTATCAGAAAGGGTGTTTGTAGAGATCTAATCATTTAATCATTGAATTCATGAGTCAATTAAAGCTAGATTAACATGGGAAACCTGGAAGAACTGAACGGCCGTTTCATCCTAGTATGAGACTTCTTTATTTCGTGGGTTGGTTGAAATTACACATTAACCCCATTGGGTGTCGACTCAGTGGTCTAGAGGTTAAGCGACCACACTCGAGACAGATAGGTCCTGCGTACGAATCTCGCAAGGCGGGATCGTAGATGTGCACTACTGAGGTGTCCCATACTAGGACAAAACGGCTGTCCAGAGCTTCCAGGTTTTCCGTGGTGGTCTAGCTTTAACTGACCCATGAATTCAACTACGTACGGATTTATCGTATTTAAACTATTAAATAGATTTGTAACCAAGTACTTTGGTGCGGGTGGAAGGGAGACAAAAGTTGTATCCTCTGAGATAAATGATTAGATAGCAAAGCTTTAATTGATGTCCTGTACAAATAATTAGCCTCTATCTCATATCTAAGAAAAATTTTGTTCACTTAGTTTGTAGCTATTTGTCTTGATAAAATTTGTTGTCTTCATTTGTTCTTCTTGTTAACTGTTTTGCTTAGTTCATTTCTGATCATTTGATTGATTGATCCCTTCTATATAAACTGATATATTGAATATGTGTCAATACGTTGACTTCTAAACTTTCATTTTGATTTGAATGTCACATTTTTGAACAGTTTTTGAATTTTCCAAAGTTTCATCAACCTGAAATCTTAGAGTTTTACCAGTCAAATAAATCTGAATGGTTACCTTTATTAATTGATACCATAATGTTTCACTGCTAGACAGCGTTTATCCAGATGACGACGATGTTCATTTTCTTCAATGTATTTCAATCTCCTTACATACATTTAGGCTTCTGAAGTGTTTCGTTTAATCAACTTCGTTTTACAGAGTTTACTTTTCTCATAACTGTACTTGAACAGGACTGATAGGTCCTGAGTTCGAACCCCGCGAGGTGGGGTCGTAGATGAACACTGCTAAGGAGTCCCACGATAGGACGAAACGACCGTCCAATGCTTCCAGGTTTTCCGTGATGGTCTAGCTTCAAATGACTCATGATCTCAACTGTAAAGTTTCTTGTTTGTAAGAATAAAGTAAAAAGTTATTTTAGAGAATACAAAATGCCATGATATGTAATATTTCAGATTACGTAAGCATTGATGATCTAATTGAAATCGATTTTTCTGTGCTAAATAGTTTAGCTATAAAACTTCTTCATTTATCTTGCTAGATGACATCATCTATTTAAACATAAGATAGATCCTTCCATAACCAATTTATGATGATGATGGTGATGTTGCCGAGAAACATGATAAGTTTCATGTCTAAGCTACCAACCATAGAGAAAATGATTTCAATGAAGTTGCTCTCTTCAACGAAAAATTATAATCATCATTTCAAAATTGTTCAATCTTTATTTTATTTGTGATTCATTATTTGAAAAAACCGTAATTCAGAAATGTGGTGTGTATAAGGTACTTGAATGTAATACTTTGTTAGTGAGGTTATCATTGTTATGATTTTGTGTCCGGCTTTTTATCATGTGATTTATCCACCAATCAAAATACGACTTATACAATCTTCGCACTGTGCCAAACCAATGACGTTCGACTGGTATGAGCAGCCTAGCGCCCTTATTGGTCCTATGTCCGCCTAGCCCGTCCACTTGAGTCCAGAACAACAACACCAGCTCCCAATATGCGAATCGAATCGAATCATTTACTTCAGAATTACTGGGTTTATATTATCAACCAAACAGACCGCAACGCACCATAAAATAGGAAATAACATTCATATACGATAAAGCCGAGAAGTGGCTGTGAACGTGGGAGACTGTGATCAATAAACTGAACATAACTTAAGAACAGTAAATCGTACAATAATAAAGTATAGACCAAAATAAAGCTTATAACAAGGGGAACATAGATATACATAATCTGGTTGTTGAATAGTTATACCATTAGATAATATTAGTCAATTAATATTTCTCAGAAGTTACTCATGATTTAATCTTCGCTCGGATCTAACAATCATAGAGAAATATTTTACCATGTAAATTAACCTTTTATTAAATACTGATCAGTATTAACGGATATGAATTGTAGTCAAGTGACTATCCTCTGTATTTGATGAAGTGTTGTTCTCTAAGACAGTTGGTTTGGTTGTGGAGCTTTCATTGTTCTTCTGATCGACATCATCTGCACAAACTTCAAGTAGAAATGATGTGTTCGAATTTCTGCATGTGTGATTCACAGCTTGTCCTGTAGACCTTGAAGTTGATTGATTCTTGTTGACCTTAAACCTTTGATTGTTTACTTCTTTGTTTTGGTTGTATCTCCCATTGGTTTGATTTTTGTTCCTATGTTGGTGCATAATTTTCCTGATGACTATCCTCTATCATTGATGGGTAGAAATCACTTGATGTTTCATATGTAAAGCATCGATCCAGATTGTGTGTTTTTTTAAGCATTATAGGTCTATTATTTTCATATAGGTTAATTATTTGCCTTAACATCAAAAGGAAATAGGATAGTTATTGAGGTTAACTTGAGTTCGAACAATTTACAATATTGAAACCATCATGAAGATTCATTCTTAAATGCAGAAATGTAAATGTAATATTTCTTAGTGAATTCCAATCGAATTGTCTGGTTGCCTAATATTGTGAATTGAATATAATCAAATTCTTGAAATTTCTTGCATTATTAAATCATCTTTGATACTGAAGATCATTTCCAAATCAACATTTCCATAAAAGTGATCTTACATTATTTACTTTCTATCTGATTTTATGTAATATTTACATACTATTTAGCTAACTGCACTTAATCCAATACTAGTTAGTTGATGGGTTACTATTACACTTGCTTATTTGTCTTTTAGTAAGGTTGAATAAACTATAAACTTCATTTTATAGTAATATGAAATTAAAGTAAAATCAATTACGGCACAGTATTATAAGCATTACTATGTTGATTTCATTTTCAAAGAAATTAGTTATGGAGATAGTAACTAATCATAGTGAAACATCAGTAATTGGTAAGACAAATACACACTCACACTCACTCACACACACACACACGCACATAAATCAGATAAGTATGTAAAGTATTCGAATCATTGTAATCATCTTTTTTCTTTACTTTTTCTTATACAAAATTTCTCTGTTTTAGGTTTTCGACATGTCCGTTTACGAAGTGATACTGGTGAGCCAATTCCACTTGCTACTTTATTTGTACACATTACCATTACAACTGGAACAGATAATTCACATGGGGTAAGGAAAAAAAAATTATTAGTAATATTACTATTTCGATTGGTACTTTTTATATGATGAAATGAACAAAAAGAAGATTACTAAGTTTTTGATTGAGATCATGAATTGGCTGAGGTTAGACATTAACACTGTTGGATGCCGACTCAGTGTTCTAGAGGTTAAGCGTTCGCGCGCGAGATTGAAGACCCTGGGTTCGAATCTCGAGGGCGGGATCGTGGATGCATACTTCTGAGGAGTCCCACAATATGACGAAATAGCCGTCTAGTGCTTCCAGGTTTTCATTGGTGGTCTAACATCAATCAGTTCATAATCTCAACCAGAAAGAAGACAGCCGGTTAGATGTAGTTGATTTGATTGTGTGATTTTTGAGTATTTATTGCATTCTTAAACATAGTTCTTTTGACAAACTAATATTAGTTCAATAACTATTGACAAGCTAAAAGCTTTGGATATTTGTTATATACTGCTTTGAAAAAAATTTAACATTCATAACATTAAGTGTTCTGTTTGTCCTACCTGACTTCTTCGATTCTAGCCTGTCCAATCAGAATACAAAAATAGTCAGACTATTTACTGTGTATATTTTATGACTCAAAATCCATAAGACATGCATCAGCTACAAGACTCTAGACCTAGATTTAGTGTTGGCTGGCACTTATCAGAGAGTCATACTTGCAATCTTGAACGAATCAATGCTACCTACTGGATTTGAACAAACCACACTCAGATTTATACCGCGGTAACAAATAAAATTATGAAAAGCTCCAATAGGAAGCTGCAACCGTTGGAATTGAATCATATAGGACATGAATTAGTTACCTACCACTAACAGTGAAAGACATTTTCTCAGTATTGCAAATTGACTGAGGTTACACACTTATATCATTGTTTGTCGACTTAGTTATATCTAATGACTAAGCGTTTGCGACAAGGTTTAAAGGTTCTAGATTCAACCCCATATAAGATCATGGATGAGCACGTTTAAGAAATATTCTACTGGGATGAAACATTTATCTAGTGCTTCCTGTTTTTTTTCAATAATTATCTACCTAAAATCTGTTTGTGATGCAAACCACATTTTTAAAAAAAAATGTTAAAGATAGAGGAATCCATTTTCAAAACTCTTTTCATGATTTTTTTTATAAACAAAATTGTATTTATGACCGAAATAGATAAATATTTATACTATATTGTGGGAACGAGATAATTATGATAATCTATGTGTATCCTGTGTTTGATTCTAGTAAATAACTATACTTTATAAGAACTATGAACAGCTTCTAATTGCATTAGTTAAAAGCTTAAATCCTTATAAGTAGTATATAATTATGGTCAGGCATAGAATGTACTTCAGTGGAAGATCGATAAGGAAAAAGTGGAAACGGTACGCAAGTGGTATGAAAATGCATGAACAATAAAATCTGAGACAATGGACTGATATTTGCAAAAAGAAACAGTGAAGTTTCAGACGATGGATTAATATTTTACAAATTAACGATTTACTATATGGTTCTCAGATTTTATTGAGATGCTCTGTAATTTCGTGCAAATACATCTTATTATCCCCGCTCATGTTCTTGTCCACTAAACCTGCGTGTCAGAGTTGATGCTCACTCTGGGACTTGGACCCAGTATCGTTGGCTTCAAACGCCATCGTGTTCTCCACTTAGCTACTGAGTCCTGATAGCCACCTGTTTGTGCGATTGGGTGAAGTTCAAATTCACTTGGCGTTGTTTTACTTGTATCTTCCGATTGTTGTTTAGAACTGTAGTTGATCATCGTCTTGTTGTTAATTATTTAAGTTAACTTACTTCCTGCACATTAATAATTTAATGGTTACAATATTCGACTTTCAACCCAGTAAGTAGTTAGTTCGAATGTCCCTCACGTTGTCTAGTTACGTTTCGGCAATTCGGATATACTCATCACTTTTATATTTAGTCAGTGTCTGGAACTCAATTAGTACTGAGGGCTAAAGAGACAAGAAATTTGAAACAATTCATTGATTAACCAACTGTAAATACCTCAATTCTAAGTGAAGTCAGTGGCAGTCCAAATAGCTTACTGGCAACGTCTCTACTTTTTTTATTCAATTACGCCTGTTACTCCCAATGGAGCATGGGCCAACGATCAGTATTCTCCAACCCACTCTGTCCTGAGCCTTCTTTTCTAGTTCCATCCAATTCTTGTTCATTTTTTTTCATGTCTGTTTCCATTTCTCGACGTAATGTGTTCTTTGGTCTTCCTCTCCTCCTTTGGCATTGAAGATTCCATGTGGGGGCTTGTCTTGTGACGCAGTTGGGTGCTTTCCTCAATGTGTGTCCCATCCACTTCCAGCGCTTCTTCCTGATTTACTCCTCTACTGGTATCTAGTTTGTTCTCTTTCACATTTGGTCGTTGCTGATAATGTCTGGTCAACAGATCCGAAGTATTTTTTGCGTAGACAATCGTTAATAAACAGTTTTACCTTCTGGATGATGCCTTTCGTAGTTCTCCAATTTTCCGCCCCATACAGTAGAACTGTCTTCACATTTGTATTGAAAATCCTGACTTTGGTGTTGGTTGATAGTTGCTTTGACTTCCAGATGTCCTTCAGTTGCTTTACCGATCCGCGCTTTCACATCTGCATCAGACCCACTACGTTCATCAATGATGCTGCCCAAATCTGTAAAGGTTTTTACATCTTCCAAATCTTCCCCGTCAATTGTGACTGGATTGGTGCATGCTATGTCGTATCGGAGAATCTTGCTTTTCCCTTTGTGTATATTGAGACCTACTGCTGCTGAGGCTGTTGCTACACTGGTCGTTTTCTGTATTTGTTGTTGCGTTTGCGATAGAAGAACCAGATTATCTGCGAAGTCTAGATCGTCCAGCTGCATCCTAGATGTCCACTGTATCCCATGTTTCCCTTCAGATGTTGACGTCTTCATGATCCAGTCGATCACCAGGAGAAACAGAAAGGGTGAGAGTAAGCAACCTTGCATAACACCGGTCTTCACTTCGAACGACTTTGTCAACTGTCCTCCATGCACGATTTTGCAGTTTAATCCATCATAGGAATTCTGTATGATATTGACTATCTTCCGAGGCACGCCGTAGTATCGAAGAAGCTTCCTTAGTATTGTCCTGTCCATGCTGTCAAATGCTTTTTCGTAGTCAATGAAGTTGATGTAGAGTGATGAATTCCATTCAATTGATTGTTCCACAATGATCCGTAGAGTTGCGATTTGGTCTGTACACGATCTATCCTTGCGGAATCCTGCCTGTTGGTCACGAAGTTGGGCGTCTACACAGTCCTTCATCCTGCTTAACAATACCCTGTTGAAGACTTTTCCTGGTATTGAGAGAAGAGTGATGCCACTGTAGTTATCACACTTGCTGAGATCACCTTTGTTCGGTATTTTGATCAGGAGTCCTTCTTTCTTTGAAGAGAATGTGGAGTATCCTTGCAGTTGCCGCTACGTCTGCTTTCAGTGACTCTGCTGGAATGTTGTCCGGTCCTGCTGCTTTGCCACTCGTGGTGGGCCAACATTGATTGGGAGGTCCGTGGGTGCTGCTTCGATGTTGGGTGGGTTCAGTGCAGCTGGTCGATTCATGAGTTCTTTGAAGTGTTCTACCCACCTGTTTTGTTGCTCTTCAATGTTGGTGATTACCTCACCTTCCTTGCTTTTCACTGGTCTTTCTGGTTTGCGGCGATTTCCAGAGAGCTTCTTTGTTATGTCATACAGTTGTCTCATTTTTCCTTCGCTTGCAGCCTTTTCCGCCGTCGTTGCTAAATCTTCCGCGTATTTCCTTTTGTCGGTTCTGATGCTCCTCTTCACTTGTTTGTTTACTTTTGTGTATTCAGCTTGTGCCTTGGCTTTTTCTGTCCTTGTTCGGCTGGTATTGATTGCTGCCTTCTTGTTCCTCGTTTCTTGAATCTTATCCAGTGTATCAACAGTGATCCATTCCTAGTGATGGCGCTTCTTGTGACCCAGGACCTCATGACATGTTGAAGTGATTGTCTCTTTGATCCCCTTCCAGTTGCTCTCCACAGTAGTTCTTTATCCATTGAGTAGATCATGAAAGGCCTAGAACTTGTTGCTGAGGACTATCTTGAATTTGTTGAGTTGATTAGTATCCTGAGGAAAGGCCGTATTGAACTTTTGTGATATTGTCCGCCCCATCGTTCAATGCTTCTTGAGTTTCAATTTCATCTTGGCGACCAGCAAGTGATGATCTGATGCTATATCAGCTCCTCTCTTGGTTCTCACGTCCCCTATAGTCCTCCTGAACGTTTTGTTGATGCAAATATGGTCAATTTGGTTTTGCGTGGTGTGATACAGTGAAGTCCATGTGGCTTTGTGTATGCGTTTATGTGGGAATATGGTGCCACCTATGACCAGTTTATTGAAGGCACATAGGTTTGCAAATCTCTCACCATTTTCGTTCTTTTCTCCCAGTCCGTGTCGTCCCATGATGTCTTCATATCCAGTGTTGTCCGTTCCAACCTTGGCGTTGAAATCTTGTAGTGTCAGTTTTTATGCTAAGCCCATATACCTTATTCTAGCTTTCGGACATCCCATTTCATTCATTCTACTTGAGCCATACTTCGACCTTGTTATTTATTTGCTTATCAGTCTTCACTGTTTTTATATGAGCGTATATGTGTGTGCACGTCATATTCCATGACTCGTTGCATGTCTGTAACTTTATTTTGACTGACTATAAATATTGAGTAACGCTTGACTAAAATGGAGTTGGCTTCCCAGCCATCTTCCCTGCGTGTCGTTTTGCTTTGCTCTGTTTCATTCGTTTCATATACAAAATATGTGTATTCACAAGTCAATTCTCGTTATTCGACTTATTTAATTCCGTTATCGGCTAACACGATTAAGTTGACGATTATATATGAGAATAGGCGATAACAAACCATTCGTACGATCTAATTGGAGTCAGATCCACGGGCCACTAAAATGGTAACCCCGACGTGAGATCAGGAAAGAACGGGCCACTAAAATCTCCTATCAGAATGGTCAGGTCCTTTGTTGGACACTTCTCCATGATTGACTGCAGCCTATTGTAGAATTGATCTTTAGCGTCTTCATTCTAGTCGTTGGTAGGTGCATAGCATTGGATAATGTTCATTGAAATGCCCTCTTTCTTTGTTTTGAAAGAGGCTTTGATGATCCTTGGTCCATGAGATTCCCATCCTGTAAGTGCATTTTGTGCTTGTTTGGACAGCGTCAATGCAACTCCTTATGTATGTGGGGCATTTTCTTCTTCACGGTCGCAGTATAGCAGAAGCTCCTCTTAAGCTAGTCGTTGTTGTCCAACTTTCGTCCAATATGTTTCACTGATCCCAGGCAGCTCTAGGTTGTATCTCCTCATTTCTGCAGCAATTTGGAAGACTCTCTCAGTCTCTCACATTGTACGAGCATAACATGTACCCAAAATAAGTGGTTGCTCTCGTTGTCAGAAGGGGCATCTTCCTCGTGACTTCCGAAGGAACTCGGCTTTCATCATGAGACGTCATAACTCTTCTAACTGAAGAACTTCTGACTCCCAGGGCAGAGTTCAAAAGGTTTGAATGATTTTTTCTGGTTAGCGTTTTTTAGCGAGTTAGTTTTCTACGGGATGGGATCGCTAACCGCCATGCTCAACCCTCCTGTTTTATCAGGGCTTGGGACCTGTAGTAGCCTCCTGAGTGGCTCCGGGAGGAGTTGCAACGTCTCTAACTGTAACATTAATTGATTTTGATTTGAATCCTATATAAAGGATCGTTTCCTTAAAAATTGCAAATATAATTTAGTGATACATATCTCTAATTTGTTTTAATTTTTTTGTAATGAACTTCTAATCAAAAACTGGGACATTGTAAACTGGCACACATCTTGTTTTTGCTTGTTTATTTCATTATCCGACAACTGAAGTAATTCGTCATTGTTATTAGTCGTAAGGGTATATCCACTCATTGTTGATAATCGAAATGAATTTTTTTAATATTTTTATCATGACTTAGTGGTGGGAACCCAGGATACATGTGTTATGCTATATTTAGAACTGATTACTCTACTGATAACCATTATCTAAATACCTTTTCTTACAAGTTTTATTAAGTTAGTCTCATACTGTCTCATTCAAGCCAAAATTTACTCATTCAACATTTCCCTACAGTGACTTTAGTGAGTTCTATTTTGAAATGACTAAATAAAAGTAGATAGATCGGGGGGTTTTTTAATTGAAAATTAAGTAGTTAATGTCTAATGGATGAATTACAACATCACTATTCTAATTTTCCTTTTGTGTAATCAATAAGAAGCGATGGAGATAAAAGTCAATATTTAAGGTCAGTTGTCAGTATCGTTGACAATTTTCGACTCCAGATTTTGACTCACGTTGCTAAACACAACACAAGTGCAACTTTGACAGACAATTCATTCTATTATTCAACCAACCATTATCACCTTTTTTGCTGCGATTTTATATTACTTAATAATGTATATCAGTAGTAATATCATCATTCCATAAAAGTTTATTGCTTCCAAGTCATATTTTTTACTTCTAATGTTCTATGACTCAGCAAAGTTTATGGTTTAACGGTAGCAATTATATTTGTCTTCGATTCGTGTATTATCAACACAAATTCTTGATTTCCGTCATAAATCCGCTGAGTTTTATCAGTAGAACAAATAATTTTGATAACTGGTAATGAACTGCTCTTGAAATGGTGGAGATTTGTAGCTCAGGTGGATGATTTTGATGAAGTTTTGTTCTCTGAGCTGGATGGTTTGGTCGCGAAGCTTTCGTAGTTCTTCTGAAGAACATCATCATCCCAAACTTCAGGTTGAAGTGAAATGTTCGAATTTCTTCACATTCGATTCACAGCTTGCCATGTAGACGTCAATGTTGATTGGTTCTCCCATAGGAGATACAACCAAAAGAAAGAAGTAAGCTATGACAGGTTTAAGGTCAACAAAAAACAATCAACATCGAAGTATGCGGGTTAAGCTGTGAATCACATGTGGAGAAATTCTAATACTTCACTACTACCTGAAGTTTGTGATGATGATGTCGTTTAGAAGAACAATGAAAGCTCCACAACCAAACCATCTATCTCAGAGAACAAAACTCCACCAAAATGAACTGCTTTTTATGAAGATCATTTGCACTTGATAAACTCAAAACAGCATAATAAACAAATTCAAAACTTTAAGTGTTATTCTCTTTCTTGATCAAACAGGAAACAAATACTGGTCTACTTCATAGATGGCGTTCACGTAATCGTCGACAATTACAGTTGAAAAAAGTTGGTGTTTCCACATTTGATGAAATATTCAAGGTAAGATGTATTTTTCATCAAATAAATTTGTTTTCTACTTTCTTAATAAGTTTTTTTTAGATTGATATATCGATATCAATGAACGTTTACTAGTTTTTAGAAAGAATTAACCTTGGAAATACTGGAACCAGGATCATCACTAACAACTATGAAGACTATATTTATTGGTCAACTTAATTCATTATAAATATATTTCATTGCCCTTCTGTTGTTGATAGATCAATTAAACTGATAAGGAAAAACTAAAATGTTACTTTTAAGCACTTGAAAGCAATCAGTTAAAAGTTCTAGATCTAAATGTTGCATTACTTATCTGTATGGTGTACTTACTACCCTGAGGAAACTTATGTTTCCTGTTCAACTGAAATCTATGTCACTGTCAGAGAGGTAATTAAGGAGTTATTTGTGATTACTCTAAAGATGGAAGAAATACGTTACTAATAATTAGTAACTAGCACAAATATTGGCTTTAGGACTTTCAGTCAACTGTTTCAAATCATCTGGATTGAGGCAGGGCACATTATGATAAAGAATCAAGTCTTGAGCTACACACTGTTGTAGTCTCATCATTATGTTTGTCGCAATACTATAAATTGTGACTACAGCTGTCGCAACTAACAGATTTTGTACTACTAATCTATTCATTATATACGTAGAGAAAAGTTACGAAAATTTCTAGTCATAACTTAGGGTACATCAGTTTTATCCCCCTTTAAAATACTTCTATACGGCAGGACACTTGTTTCGTCCACACTTTCTCGTCATTGATATCAAAGCCCCAATTGACCAGTCTACATTGATATATGTGCTTCCAGTATGGGTTTCACGATATTACTTCTCAGTTAAACGTTTTAGTACATTTGGGTTGTGGTTAGCAATAGAATTCATCACGTCAGTTCCGCCGTATATGAAACGCGTTAGCTGGATGAACCTGGATCCTAGATTGATTGTTCACATGGAAACTTGAATCCATCAACTTTAACTTCAAGCCACAAGGTTCTATTTGCTAATCCATTGATTCAATTTAACCACTAATTCGTTCAACAGATATAAGGCTATTTGTAACGACATCAAAAATTTACTTTTTCTGTTCTCAAATTTATTACGGGAGCAAATTGTATGAAATCATTTTCTAAAGGTTTATGTTTTCCCGATGAACAGGTTAATAGCACTTACATTCAATAGCTTAGTAGGTGAAGAGTTGGCGTTTAGAACATTATGTACTGAGTTCAAATCTGGGTATAAATCTCAACACTAATATGCAGGTAAATCCAACTGACGAATCTCAGATATGATAAAACGGGGATAGTTTATTCCACTAATAGGCACAATCTATGTTTACTGATTTCACTTACATTTGAGTATTTTTATCGCCTATTTTTTCCTAATTTTAGGCTACGGCAACAACATTGCGACAAGTGTGTGAACTCCGAACATCTGTACTCACTAGTTTCGATAATTTTAGACGACTGTGTGGTGAAACATCAACACCGTTATCCATGAATCAATGTATTCGAGCGTTGTCTACACGTATTGCAACAGCGTTCGGATCACCAGATCTGTGGCCTGTACGTATGCGTATTAGACCAGAAGATGAAATGCCTCATTTAGAGCTACAAAATTCATTCTCTGGATCCGGGCTAAGTGGTTATCCAAGTTTAAGTACACTCGGTGATCCAGTATCTCATCATGGTACACTTGGATCATCATTAACCCGTAATTCTTCATTACGTTTTACTCCTGCGCCTGGATTGCATCGTTCACCTTCATTAATTCTTTCCCCTCGACTATTTTTAAATAGACGCTTAAAAAGTAGCACAAAATCAATTGATGAAGATTCAGCATCAGCTTTATCAATTGATGTTATGGGTTGTCATGGCAATGGTAATAGTGGTACTCATAGTGTACAGGAACATTCACCAACTATTTCGACAAATAATATAGCAAGACGACCAAGTATTCATTCAAGTAGCAGTAGTATTTCTTCTTTTTCCGTTGGACGTTTGGATAAATTGAAAAAAGCTGTCAATGAGTTCGAAAATGTAAGTTACTTTTAATCTATTAAATGCCAGAATCTACCTCACGTTAGACTCCCAGCAAACAAATGAGTTTAATTTACCATAAATAACGAAAGTATATGATTGTATGTTTTTTATGAACATAATAGAGATGTTTAATCGAAGTATATACCTACGAAAATGAATGATATTCAAATCCACGGCTTTACCTCCCATGGTTTATAGGATACAATTAGGACGAATTAAACTCGACCGTTGTTGCTACCTTAACGTGGTGATCGGGCTTGCCTATCGTGATAAAGCAACCGAGCCATACTGGCTGGAACAACCGCTCCTCAAGGTCCTACCATGTCAGACAGGTCGGTTGAAGGGAGGCAAGACTAAAAGCAACAAACCCAAGGTCCGAAGGCGAAGTCGTACTGCCGACTGTACAGAGGTGTGATAGTAGTAAGGTGTTTCCTTCAGACAACTAGCATAACAGCGATACTGCCTTCCCACAAGGAGGGGTGGGGTTAGAAAAGGTCGACCCTAAAAATGCACACTCCGCCTTATCCCACGGATATCCGTTTCCGGCGGTAAGGTCTCAACAAGTACGGAGCTAACACAAAAGTTACCCATAAAAAGGTTGTGTGTGACCGACCTCAAGCAGTTGTCCCTTGGACACTGCAGTCACGCTCTCAGGTCACTGAGACCACCTCTAATCCAACTTCCTTTTCAGTTAACTCCAGAAGAACCCTTCCATGATGTGGGCAACCGGGAAGTGATAACCGCCCTCACACTTCTAACAGCACTGAAGAGGACGAATTAAAATAGCAAGGCTCATGCATTTTCTCAATTCTAGTTTACTCGTAATATAGTATGGATATCATTAAATATCAGCAGCTTGAATACTCATTGACAATCATAACCTAGTTTACGACATGAATTACGTCTTTCCAATAGGGCTTTAAGTTATTCACTATGTAGTTAGAGATCTGAAGGTAATTGATTATTATTAACTTCATCATGGACATACTTATGGAAATAACATTTTCCTCGACTGAATTCTCGGGGATTGATCTCCTACCAGGAGGTCCACTTATCGACTTAGAATACGCAGATGATATAGTTCTGTTTGGTGAAGACGCTGATAAAATGCCGAGTCTTTTGGCAGTACTAAGCAACAATGATAGAATGTTTGGAATGCGCTTCTCCCACTCTAAATGCAAGTTACTACATCAGGACTGGCCTGTGTCAACACATCAACTAAGGATAGGGAGTGAAGTAGTCGAACGCGTTGACAACTTCACTTATCTTGGAAGTTTGATCAGCTTTAATGGGTTGGTGTCTGACAAAATCTCAGCATGGATTCAAAAATCTTGTTTGGCTTTTTCGAAATTATGTCACCTATTACAAAGGAGAAATATCCGTCTATCAACTAAAGGACGACTATACTGAGCAGAAGTTCGTTCTGTTCTACTTTATGGGTGCGAAACGTGGTCAATGAGAGTAGAGCATACTTGCAATTTACTAGTATTTGACCACAGATGTCTTAGAAATATTGCTCCCATCTGCTGGGATCACTGGGTAAGTGATAATGAGGTTAGACATAGGGTATTGGGGGATGACGGTAAATCATTTGATGAGGTTGTAAATCTTCATCGACTGAGATAGTTGGGTCACGTGTTGCGTATGCCTGAACACCGACTACCACGATGTGCAATGCTGACTAGTGTTGGGGATGGTTGGAAGAAAGTTAGGGGCGGTCAAACCAGAACGTGTCATCAGTGCTTGAAGTCACTAACTTCTATATTGGTAGATGCAGACTACTTGGTTGGGGTCTGCGTGACTGTCGTAACCAATGGTTGGATACTCTGGGTGACATGGCTCAGAATCGATTACAATCGTGTCGGTGTATACACTCTTTGTCTTCCCTTCAACTAAGTGATTAAAATCACTTCATATCTTTTTCTCTACTAACTAATTCTTTCTTCCTATACTATATCCTTATATGCAATCTTTCTTCTATATACTGTCACCACCGAATTAACTACTTTTATGAATCCAGTGTTCATCTTGTTGTGTTAATGAAGTATGGTAACTTTAACCGATGCATATATGTGCCTGGTCCTACGCTGTAGCTGACTGACTGGATTGAACACTTCACAAATAAAATATTTACTTTGTATAGTTGATTTTTTTTGTTTGTTTTAAATGTTTTTCGTTTTTGTTTTCTAGCTTATTGAATCATGTAAAACACTGATTAAACAAGGACCATATCTTCGAGTAAAAGTATGTTATTTTCTATACTTAATTGTAACTAATATTTATTAATATTAGTTATTAGTATAAAGTGAAATCTGTTAGGAAAGTGATTAGAAAATTCAAGAGGAATTAAGCAGTGGTTTCGACTTAAATCAGGCCCCCTCAGTAATGCATATATACTATCTGACCAGCGATAAAAGCATAGTACTTCCAGGCCTCAAGGTGGCCATTTAACTTTTCAGCTACTGAGTAGATATCTAATGTTTCATATTTTAACTTCACTGAATCTATAATGTAAATGATAAGTTCAACAGTTTGTATGTTGTATTGGTCACAAACTAATTTCAGTCGAGATACCATTATAAGCCAGAGAGTAATGTATAGCTTAGATGGTGGTTAAAGGTAGTCAACAGGAAATCCTGGACCCGTGTTTCGTGCTACTTGGCACTCGTCAGCAAGGTGTACCTGTAGTCTTGAGGGGACTGGTGCTCCCTGACGTATTCGATCTCGTGTCACACAGTTAGAGACATCACTACTGGGTTATTCGGATCGCGACCGATCTTCTGCAATAATCTATAGCTGTTTCATTCCAGTACGAGGCTACTCAGCAGTGAGCACCTATGACTTTACCGGGGCTGGGATTGAAGATCATCAGGTCTAGTGGAGAATCATTCATCATTAAAACAGCTGGATTGACATTCACTGGTAGTTTCAAAATGAACCAATTTATTGTATAGAGTGACAGTCATTCAGTTTCACTGTGAACAAATGTTTCACTCCTAATATGTCTGATCTCCACCAGTTATGACTGCATATTTGAATTTCAAGAACATTTTAACACAAAAGTAACTGATGAACTAAAGAAAACTAGAATTTGATACTACTAGTTTCTTAAATAAACGGTAATAAAACAAACGTTCTGGTATAAATGAATTATTTTCCATCATTAAACCAAATCATCTTATGTATTTAATATTCAACGTTACATTCAGGGAACACTTTATTGATCTATTCAGATGGGATGCATGTTTAGAAGATTTAAAGCATAGCAAACAAAATGAAGTCACTTCAGCGAATAATATTTGTCGTTCTTCATTGAATAAACTAATAATATTGATTATTTTTTAATTTATAAAGTGTGGCGAGACTATAATTTATGGACGAACCAATCACTTATTCATTTGGATAAATAGCGTTTTGGCATTATAGCTTATGTTAATTCGTGATGAAAATCCTAAATCTAATTCCTAACCTTAATCATCAAATGTAAATTATCACTATAATTCCTCACATTAATTTATAACCCTCATTTGATCCTCGTTATCAGGTAGACACTCTCAAGGTCAGTCTAGCGTCGCTCAAAAGCCATAAATTATAATCTCATCCTAGAATCTACTCGGTTAGATTCCTTGAATTTTTCTGTTGCAAGGTAATTCTATATCAATAGTTAAGATTCAACCACCTACCATGACCCACTATACTTTGTACAGTTAGAATATCCTGAAATTGAATTAAATGGAGAACAATGCAGTGTGATAGGCTAACTGATATAAATCACCGTTGATTATACCTTCCTGAAATGATCAGTATAATAATATCCAGTATGATTTTTATAATACATTTCATTTTGGTTTGATTTTGATTTATTTCCAATGCGAACAATAGATATTCATCTAATTGACACTGAATGAACTTGACTCCAAGATAACTAACACCTGTAACTGCAGTAGTAATTAATTGAAGCTCAATAGTTAGAATATAAGATAAGTAATGCCATTTTGAGTGATTACAAATACTTTCCTCTGATTATTTCTAGTAAGTATGGGAACTACTACTTCACGCCATATTGTTTTAAAACTGATTTATATCTAAATACTGGAAAGTAAACTATAATCCTTTCCATTAATAAATGCTTTTACCAACTAAATATTTTACTTTTTTTTTCCTTTATTACATAAATTCTAGTTACAACAAACTCAAAGAACTGCCTTAGATGCATATACTACTTTTTTAGAAGGCTTAAAAGAGCCATCATCTCATGCTACTGCCATTTCAAAATTAACATCATCAGCGGCAGCAGCCACTACATCATTAAGAAGTTCAATATCTCATAGTCATGAAACACGTTTTGGTAGTTTAACATCAGAAATTAACCGACATGTAACTTCACAAATTATAGAAGATAATATAGATCATCGAAATAATAAAATAACTACTAGTGGTACCTCAATATATTGGCGACGTATGTCACGTGTAGCTGATAATGTAACATGGAATTTACGTTTATTAACAGGACAAACTGAACTAATGACATTATTATTAAATGAATCGAATGAATGGATAAAACAAGCAAAAGAATCTAGTCAATCTACTGGTTTATTAATTCAATCCAATCTAACTCATTTAAATGATTTACATAATTCACCAATTTATTCTGATAAAGATCAATTAACCAATGAATTAAGTATAGAAATTCCATTAATTAATAAAACAATAAATCAAGATAATCTAATAGAAAATCATTCAATTTCATTAAGAACAATAAATGATCAAATGTCAACTCTTATGAATAATAATACAACAATATTAAATAATTCATTATCACCATTATTAGAAAATTCTCATTTAAATCAATCTAATTTTAATTTAAATGAAACAAATTTAATTCAATCAAATATTGTGAAAAATTTTAATTCTTCATATAAGAATACCACAGATATTAAACAAAAATCTATATTATCATCCAATGAAAGCACAACAACAACAACGCCGACAATGATGATGTCACCTAGTATCATTACAACAATAACTACTAATGCTTCTTCTTCTACTACTACTACTACTACTAACACTCATACTACTCATTTCACCAATATTATTAATAGTAGTATAAATAATGTAACTACAACAACAACCGCAATGACAAAAACACTACCAACTTATAGTAATTCATCATCAGGAAATTTATCAAAAATTAAAAATCGTTTTAATCAAGCATGGAAGAGATAAATTTTTATTTTATGTGATGATTATCCAAAACATTTAAATATAAAAAGGATTATTGATATTCATTGGATTTAAATACCCCTTATATGATATATAATAGATTTCCTATTACAGAACAGAATAAACAAGTTTATTAAAGAGTAAAAAGAATTATTATACATTTGTGATATTAGCATAATAAAAGAGTATTGAAATTGTATAAAAAATTAACAATTTGTTAAACTTCTTCATTATAATAAATAATCCAAATATCAATATTTGTAAACAATTAGAATAATTGATTGATTAATTTTTCCCTTATCCCTACCAATCCCCGGGCCCCCCCCTTCCCCTCCACATTATGCATGAAATGTGAAATAATCATACTATAATAACAATGTAAACATTGTACACTTAATTGATTCAGATTATATGAGAAATTGGCAGAAACGATGAACCTCTAATTCTATTCTATAGTATATAGATATGGAGAGAGAGAGAGAGAAAGGGGAGAGATTAGTGTCCGCATTTTCTGCACGAAAAATACATGTGAATAAATAGATTCGAGGAATATTCAACATTCTTCTATATACATAATTAAATATTATACATTTACATATATAAATATATAAAATTCTTTTTTTCAGATTTGATGCATTTAATTATAAATTGAATTTCATATTGTGTTGGTCAGATTTTTCTTTTCTTCTTTTCCTTTTTCTTCTTCTTCTAATTATGACTTAACTCTCATCATATTTTGTTTCTTCTTCTCTTCCTTCTAAACTTTCTTTATAATTCAGTTTCATTTACAAATTTATTGACAAGCACTTTTTTTCTTGTTTTTCTTTTTCTTCTTTTTGTTTTTGTTCAAAATGAGAAACTACCAAACTATTACCATGATCATCTTAGATTGCTGGGTTGTTTGTTTTCTCTTTTTACAATTAAATGATTAATGAACAATGTTTATTATAAATACAGAACATACTTTAAACATTATTCTATTGTAACTTATATTACATATTACATGTTTTATTTCAATACTACTCATAAGTAGTCATAATTATAAATTCAACTATTTTTTATTTCAATATAAAAGAAAATATGTAAAGATAAGGGAGAGAGAGAAAGAGAGAGTAGATAAAGATTTCAATCAGAATTTATTTGTATTCTAATTAATATACATTTTAATTATTTACATTGAAAATGAATTTGTGTATCCGTTGAAAAAAATGTAAAAAACAAAAAAGAAACAAGAACAAAAAATAACAAGATTTTACTGAAATCTTATCTTAATTATTATCGCTTATTGTAATGATCAATTAAGATTGCTTTTTTTAATTTATGTATTTTGAAGAGTAGGGGTGGAGGTGGTTGTCGTGTAGAGAAGAGGAGATTGTTACCACTGAGCTATCCACCAGGGAGCACCAGTTCCCTCAAGATTACAGGTACACCTTGCTGACGAGTGCCAAGAAACACGAAACCTGGGTCCAGAGTTTCCTGTCGACTACCTCCAACCAATATCTTAATCTCAATACATAGTGCTCACAATGTCGAGTCACCTAGACTGGTGGCCACATTGCAACATGATCGATAGCATTGGATCTGCACTAATAAGGACTAGACAAGCATGACATTGATCACCACCCAGTGACCAATCAATTGTGATTACATCTCAGTCCTACAGGAGGTTAGTCACGGCTCGGATAGCTCAGTGGTAACGTCTTCGACCGTGAAGCTGGATGACACGAGGTCGAATCTTCTATTAATAAATAATTAAACAAGATACATATAGGTTTATACTACTCATACTTGACATATTTTAATTTAGATTTAAAAAATTGATGATTTCGACCTACTGAAGATGTCCAGTAAATACTATTGGTCATTTATATGTATTGAATTATCAATACTGATGAATTACACTTTTTAAGCAAATTTATTAACGCTAACTTATCGTATAACCAGCTTATTTGCATATAACGTAATCATTCTACGCATACGTGTATACATGATAGACTGATATATATGACGAAAATCAAAGTTTATTCAACGAATGGTTGATTTGTTACTTCCTGAAGTTCACTGAATCATTTCATGGTAAATATAGAAAGCAGGTTTATAGACAGTTGATTATCATAGTTACCAAATAAAGGCCAAGTGAACGTAAAATATTCGACAAGACTGTCAACCTCTATCCACCGACAGGAAATGAACCGGAATACTGATTAGGTTGTTAATAAGGAAATAATTTACAAATCAGAATACTTAACTAGGTTAGTTAAAATTACAAAACATTGATTGATTTATGCCTCTGGATGGCATAATAATCGAACATAATATTCGTTAATTGATGTGACCACACTAATTAGCAAGAACAACCGGTCATCTGTGACAGCTAGTTTAAATCTGTATAGAATTCAGGTATGGGCCCAAGTTCAATTATATTTCCATACAAAACAATTAAAAATTATCATATGGCAGTACGTATTCTGTTAAGTAAATAAGAAGTTGGATCGTAAAAACAGAATTCTACTAATTTTTAAAGAGATTAATTTTATCGACTTTCAAATCTTCCGTTATATGGAAGTATACTTATTAAATCGCCATTTTCACCAACTAAAACATTTAGAAGGCATGCTTTTCAGCAGTCTCATTTTTTCCTGTAACTGTCATACAAATACGATTTCCTCACACCTAGTTCATTATCAAATATTCGCACAATAATATGGCAAACAGGAAGTATGACAAACTTATTATCACCAACATAGATGATCGACTGTCATCCTGGTCTTTTATCATGTTACAATCTTCACTGAAACGTCTGATCTAGTATGTAACCTCCATAAACACTTCTCGATATTTGACCAACTTCTTGTGTTTCTCCCCAAAAGCATTTAGTAGTTCAGTTCACACACTGATTAGTCATAATATTATACCACTTTTTTTCGGAAAACATATTGCGAACGCTAAAAAGAACTAAAAATCTAAATAATTCACTGTTTCATACATATAGTTTATTGGAATACAAGTACGTTTGTTGAAAATTTTTGCCTCGAAATGCGGCCATAGTTGGTCAAAGATAACGTCGGAACAAAGCTAGGGGCAGATATACTAAGAAACGACACTGGTCCATTAAGTCATTAACTGTTGAATAGAGTCGTGTTGGTAGGTGCAGATTATTCGGTTAAGGTCCTTGTAATCAATGGTTCGAAACGTTTGATGACATGGTTTAGAACCAGTCACAATGGTGTGTATGGTATCACTGTCATAAAATACTTATTATTTTTATGCCGAGAAATCATTCTTCCTCCAAGCATTACATTGCTTACGTCTAGTGTTTCTTATTACTTCTAAAACTCTGGCATTTATCTTGATAATTTTATTGTGCTTTGATGATGTAGTGTAAAGAAAAAGACCAACGTATATGTGTTCGGTTCAATGTTGCTTATGACTGGCTGGTAGTGTAAATAGCTATCGAAATTAATAGACCTGTGGAGAAGCGGTACAACACCAATAATGATTGGGTATTATACATTAAAAACTGTCTACATCATCCGATCAGTAAGAAGTAAGAAGGGAAGCATTTAAATAGTCAATATTTTGTTAAACAGTGCAAAAATAAAATCTGCAGAATAAAATAAATCCATTTTATTTCATGGCTTCTCGCTACAAGGAGTAATATGACTATAAAGATGGTTTAATATACTTTAGACAAGGAATCGTAGATGAATATTCAAAACAGAACCGAAATTCATAGGTAAAAGAACAAGATATGATATATTTGATAAGGTTAACGAATATCTACATATTAATGGTAATAACAATAATAATACAAAATAAAGGGGGTAGTGCCATAGTTTCTAATAATCAGACTTTTTTTCAAAAAAAGAGACTATACAGTTGTATTGGAAATAGTAAATTATTGTACAATTGTGTAGTTGGAACATGTCGAATTTATATTTGAACCTCAACAACATCATGCAAGACAGAAAACTTAAAAAGATCATTTGATTATAAAGATACGTGTTCGTAAACTTTGATAGAAGCTTAAACACATTCCAAGGGACCTGTCTGAAAGTCAGTAAACTCTAAACAAGTACAATCGTCAGGGTCCTGATGGATAGTGGACAAAAAATCAAAATTAGCCATACATTCAAAATAATTAATAAAGCGGTGAACCTTTCTCTGCCCTTTCTCTGGTCCCCAAATGCCCTGGTACGGCCGAGAGTGGGGAGAGTCCGCTCTCCCTCTCGAAATACTCTCACACGGCCACGCGTATATAGCCTCTTCCAGGGAAGTCCTACTCACTGCCTTCTCGTGGCGGGGGTGTTGTTTACGAAAATGAGAGGACGAAAAGCGAATGTCCGGCGCTTTAACCGGATTCCAAATCAATGGTGTACATGGGCTCCAGTATCCTGCGGGAACAAATGGCGAATGAACCAATTGTTGGTCACCGGCTTCCATGGGACTGCATCTCCTCACGATACTCCACTGCCTTGTGGATCAGACCTTCAGGTCGAAGGCTCGGGGTGTGGCCCCCTAAGAAAACCACCTGCTTCGGTTTGGGCACCCGGGCAGTATCACAGCCCTCACACATATCGAATGAGATTTGTGTGGCGCATATGTATTTGGTGCCTCTTTGTACCATTATCTATGTGTTGAAATAAATAATAATAATTCTCTGCCATAGTGACTATGATTGTAATCGAATAACCCTTTTAATTTTTCACGCTTATATAATCATATTAGCGTTCAAATACTGATTTAATTTGAGTTCTAAATATAAAATAATTTACTATCTTCACCACAATTCGATAATTCTTTCTGGAAATCTGACTATTAGCAAACGTAACATCACCTCCTCTATTCTGGATTCTTACCATTATCTTTAACACATAACAATCAAAAGTTCACAAGTTCAGTGAAGAAATATTTCTCTTCAATTAGATTTTTATCAAAGCATTACACTAATCCATAAGTTTTATAGTTAAAAATAAAAATCATCAGTACTAAATGAATGGCTAATGTGGTATGACAACTCGAATTGATGTACGTACGTACGAAGTTCTACGTTGTTAATGACTGAATGGCTATTGTTCAGTTTAACAATATTTTCTTTAAAACAGTAGAGTTAGAAGATCAACAAGAGTAAAAGATATAACATATTTAAAGACAAGGTTATGTAATCGGTTAATAATGAAAATCCAATCTGATACAAGAAACAAAAGGGTTGCAAACACACACACAAACACACATATACATACATACATACATACAAAATACACCACGTACCACTTGACAGTAAATAGACACTAAATATAAACAAATTGTCTTACCAATCTACAGGAGAAATCTAACAATTAACCACAAGATATTGGTTAATTAAAATTTTTAAAAATCAAATTATAGACCATTTTAGTTATTATAATGATTAATCTTATTAGAAAACACAAAAAGAGGAAAAAAAGGGGGTACTATGTCCATGGTAAAAAATTAGGATGTAAAATACAGCCTATAATAGCATAACCTAAGAAATAACAAAGTATAATACGATGTTTTACCAAATGATATTGAAAAGGATTTAATGCTTTATAAATATCTACTAAATAATGATACAATTCAAATTTAATATTGAACAGAGAATTATTATTGTGCTTATTCATTATTAATGGCTCGAAATTGGGCAGCGTTTCACAAAGAAGATATGCACAAAACCAATAGATAACAGGACAGGATGAAAATATCATACGTGTTAACACCTATGAAACAGAAAAATAAGTGAGAATGAATACATAGGAGTTGCGAATGTGATTCATTCAATGAAAGTAGTGAAAAACTTTTTAGTTGATATATGTACAAGTAAATATAATCACTTATATACGCTTCACAAGTGACCTGACCAACTAATTGCATTTTTCAGTTAGGGACTATGGTTAAAAAATAAATAAACAAAATAACTGTTACCTTTATTTTAGGTAGCGGAACGGAACATACTAAACACTTTAACCATTTCATCCTATCAGCTTCGATGGGTTAGCGGCTGACAGAATCTCACCACGCTCGGATTTTGTTGATTTGTATTACTTGAAGGGAGAATGAGATATTTATCTGACTGTCAAAGTGGTTATACTGAACAGCAGTTCGCCCACTATTGGTCTACGATGGCAATGGTACATGGCATAGGTTGTTAGGTTTTGATCATCAGTTAGTCAGTAACAACGTAGAACTTCGTACGTACGTGCATCAGTTCAAGTTGCCACACCATATTAGCACAGAGATGCACTTGTCAATACAAATCCCATAGTGACAGAGGTAGTAAAAGCATAAGCAGTAATCAGAAACATTGGGGTTTGAAGATATTACTCAAGGAGTATAATTCAGTGAAATAAACTTGGAAAGAGAAAAAAAGAAAAAGACATGAAGGATTCAGAAGATAAGAATTTGGAAGAACGTAAAGAGTGGATGCACGTGCGCCATTGCAAACGATGTTGAGCCATGTCATTCAAGGTCTATAACGATCGTTTGCTATCGTCTTGCGGATCCCAACCAGGTAGTCTACACCTGCCAACATAGCTCACTCCACTTGTCAGTGGCCTCATAGATTGTACCATGTTTTGGTCTGGCCACCCCTAGACTCAACTACTTCACTCCCTATCAGTCTCACCGTTCTCCAATCGACCTGCCTGGTATGGTAGAACATACAGGAACACATATTCCAGCCAATATAGCTCGGTTGGATCATCACAATAGGCAAGCCCGAACACCACGTCAAGGTAGCAGCTACGGTCAGGAGGTTTTGATCATAAGTGCCTTGAAACCTCTTTATGTGTATAGTGAAACCAATTAGCTAGTAAAATCGAGAGTAGATCTTAAGAACTAAGTAGTTATGGTAAATAGGTTGCTGTGATTTTGAACCTCATCGAACAGGAAGGTTGACATGTCACAAATAACCAACCAGCATCTGCCATAATGCGATAAGCTGATTAGTATAACATTGAGCTGAATAACAGCCAAAAGCATGCAAACTAAGACCTGATACATGTTCACAGAGTTTATAACTATCATTTTGAGCTAAGTATAAAGGTGTAAGGTCCCTGGTTTTGGTTTACAAAATGATCGTGATTCGCAGTTGGACTCCTCACTAGCGGGTATCCACGACCCTGCATGTGACAATCGAACTCCAAACCTTCAGTTTCTCACGCAAACGCTTATTCACTAGGCCACTGAGCGGGCATCCAACGGTGTTGATGTCTAACTCCAATCAATCCGCGATATTGGGCAATGATCTCCATTGTCTTCGGTAGACAAGTGCCCCATACCCGACATGATCGAACTCCAATGGCCACAGCTTCTCACTAGGACCCTGAAAAATTTCCTACAGGAGCCAGTTGCTAATAAGCATATAATTATCAGTATATGATTGTGGGGATTGTTGAATCAGTTACTCACCGAAGACAAAAAGATCATTGAGCAATATCGTAGACTGATTGGAGTTAGACATCAACACCGTTGGATGCCCGCTCAGTGGCCTAGTGAATAAGCGTTTGCGTGAGAAACTGAAGGTTTGGGGTTCGATTGTCACATGCAGGGTCGTGGATACCCGCTAGTGAGGAGTCCTGTACTAGGACGGAACAGCCATCCAGTGCTTTAAGATTCTCAACGGTGATCTAGCATTGATTGGTTCATGATTTCAACGAAACTCAATAATCTTCACAACCCTAAACAATTCTATGCGCTAGACTATGAGCTACTAACATCATTAGCCTTAGTGTTATATGGAAATCTGAAAGATAGTTGGTGCGAAGTTTTAACTCTAAGGCAGCAATGATAGAACCGATCGTTCGATATTTCGTCTTAACTGACCAATAACCATACTATAAAGCCCAATCACCTCCAGGGTACTGAATCTACTAGACACAATGAATTACTAGTTTCGATGGCACAACTTTTGTCAATTCATTAGGTCGTGATATAATTAAACAAACTTTAATAACTAAAAGTACTCTTCGGTAAAAATTTACTTGCCAGTAAGTATCCTAACATATTTCGAAATCATAAAATACTTCGATAACAAGCGCATAACATTGTTTACTTAATTATACAACTCGAGTAACTTTATGACTGTCAAATGAGCTATATTGGTAAGAATAATCAGCTACCCACAAAAATTTCCGCTGGAAGTAATGAGCGGAATGATATTTGCGAATCTCATTCAATATCAAGTAACGAATGCTCGGCAAAAAATTCTATCCGCGTTAAAGAACATATAGTAAATGTTTAAATAACTGAATTAGATAAATAACCAAAACAATCACAAATATTGTGATGCCAAATGCCAAAATCTGTGTAAAAAAAATTAAAGTAAAAGCATAACTCACTTGAACATTTATGTGGAGAACCCCGTAAGAGCATAAAAACAGCATATGAAACACATACGGCACCATGATACGGTCCATTTCGCATTCTGCACATAGCCCAAAGGTTCTATATGCTTTTGGAGCTCTTCGGTAAAACACAATCGCACATATAAAGCATAAAGTAACTACGGGTAAGGATAGAATAAAATTTGGAATTTGCCGTAGCTGGTAATATCCCCACAACCCAACATTCCACTGACTCTTTTGAATATAAGAATATGAGAATGGTGGTGCAAACGAACACCAAACTGGTAAATGAGAAGAACTAGATCCGTTTGTAAGGCGAACTGGTATTGAGAAGCCATGATCCAGGCCATAGGTAAGCAGTGGTACAGGAATTTTTGACGGAAATACAGTGTGAGACGATTGCACGCGAGAACAATATAAAAAGTAACCGTAGGTTTGATACAATAAAAAAGGAAGAGAGCATAAAAAGAGTAACACAAGGCGTGGCATGAAGAAAACAACAACGTTGACCCACCACTTGATGGACAAAATCAAGAAAGATATGAAGGACTTTCTGGTTTTGTGAACTTCATCTATCCATATTAGAACCCGGAAGTTTGAACGAACGACCATGAAGTAACCTAAATATCCTATGTTTAGCAACCCATTGCTTCTGCACATAACAGAAAACGCGATTAACAAAGAAGACAATAAGATCCTGTTGACATACATAAAATATAACCCAGAAATAGTAAAAAAGAAAAACAATGACTCAGAGTAAAGTGATGAAAAGAACACTGTAGCTGGATTACAACAAAATAGTAACGAAGCAAGAAAACTCACTTTTACAGAACCCAGTATCATAACTCCTAGGCGATATAAAAAAACTGTGGAGGCTAGATTTAAAACAAAGTTTGACAAGAATCCACATAAAAGGATTGAAGAAGATAAACTCAGAGAATGTGCACTAACTCTTAAAGCCAAACGACCCAATAAGCCTAGTAACATGGGAAAACCAGGGAGAAAGACAAGGCTATTTTCAAAGATATAACCGTAGTTTGCGATAAAAGTAAAATAAATACAATCCCATTTGCAAAACCCCTGAAAGGTTATTCGCGTAATCTTATCCACCCATCCAGCGTAAGGTTCCTCCGGGGGTTTAAAAGCGTCAGCGGCATGATCAGGAAGAACACTACTGAAAGACTAAATGCGTCTTATGGAAAGAAATAATAGTCACTTACTATTATTAACGCAAAAACCGACCTCAAAACAAACGCACATTTCAGTAACGAACTTTCTACCTTAGTCAAACCAAACATACGCCAGCGCCACAACCCTATAGGGTTGAAGTTTATAAACTTCAAATTCATTTGCTATCACTCATTTCCAATATCTCCAATATCTTTGTCGCGAGCTTGTATAAGCCGATTGACTTCTTTGCGCTCGTATGTTGTTAGTCCGGCGAGGTTGCAGGTTAGTCTAACCACCCAAATCTACTAGTTCGAATCAGTTTGGTAGTTATTTGTGGATTTTTATATCTTGTAGTTTGATTGAGCGCGTTTGTCTCAGAGCAGTAAGAATCCTGGATACCAATAACTATCATATTACCAGGTAGGTGGTTGGATGATTGTAATATGAAATTAATAAAATGATAATTTGACTTGGAAAGCGCGCTATTTAAAAAGGATAGTGGTATTATTTCTCGTGAAGTTGAATTTACTGTTTCGATCGTAAATTTCACATCAATATTACTGTTTGTACTTTAGTTGAATTTATTTCACTTAAAGTGATATTGTCATAATTGATTGATCACTGGGTGGTGATCAATGTCATGCTTGTCTAGTTCTTATTAGTGCAGATCGAATGCTATCGATCATGTTGCAATGTGGCCACCAGTCTATGTTACTCCACACTGCGGGCACTATGTATTGAGACTTTAGATGGTGTTTGGAGGTGATCAACAGGAAACCCTGAACCCGGGTTTCGTGCTACTTGGCACTCATCAGCAAGGTGTACCTGTAATATTGAGGGAACTGGTGCTCCCTGGCGGATTCGATCTCGTGTCACCCAGCTTCACAGTCAGAGACGTTACCACTGAGCTATCCGAGCCGCTCGGGTTTTTACATGGGTATTTATAGCGAATAGTTTGTCATTGTCGTAAATGCCATACGACACGTGCAACATGCAATAAGGATTTCTATCCCGAAACAATTAATGAGCGATATACCTTTATATACTGGTGGCCAAGTTGCTACAGCAGCGACTGATGGAGAATGGACGACGCGGAAACATAGAAGAGAATGAAAGACATCCAAAAACAACGCCCAGCCAATTGAAAGGTCCTTGGTGGACCCACATTTTGCATGTCAGATTACTCCGCCAAAGTTCCAAGGTAAGACAATATTTAACCCTATCGTAGGTGGGAAAAGTTTACCCGTATCAAACATCGTTGTGATTGATTCGCTTGACTCCCACGACTTTGTTACAGGGGAGACTAAAGGTAAGATACCAGCAATTAACGGGTAGGATCTGACACCATGATCGAAAGCCGTGAACATGACTTTCAAAGAAATTGAACGCGTTCCTAGTTGATTATGTGGGATCTAAAGGAGTTGAAGGACAGTGACCCTGCTAAAAGACATGCACACTGCCTGCGGTTGGTGGAATCTGTCATCAAAAGTGTGCCACCTGAAGAGATTTTAGGGGTACACATCGTGCAAGTAATAAGAAGTGGTAAATGTGTTAGAGGCTAGACCAAACCAAGACGGAATATAGTGATGGTACTCGAGAATTTCGAAGAGATGTAATGTTAAATAACGCATGAAAAACTCGTTATTCATATATTCGCATCCGGTCAGATTGTCCGCTTAAGGATCGAATCAAGTGGAAGAATGCTCTTACGAAGTTAAGAACCCAAAAGCTAAGTGGAGAAACGAACCTTATGATTAAGGGTTTTTGGGTAGTCAGGTGTTGGAATCTAATGCTTCCGAGACCCATATGGGTAGAACGAGTGATTCCCAAAACACCTTAAGTCTGTGCTGCACGGACTCCCGAAATATTCGAAACAACAAATTCTAGATAAGTCTGATGGTGGTTGAATCAAGTCCCGATATAATTGTTACTGCAAAAACTCTACGCACCGTAGATGCAGACTGTTCTTCCAGCATTGCAGGTCACATCTGTATTACAAGTGGCGTTGTGAGTCGCAAGGGGGGAGGTATAATATTATATGTTAGGGATCACTTTCGCATACAATCAGTTATACTGGAGGCGCATGTTAATGGTACATGTGAAGAAGAATATTGCACAACTAAGTCTAGAAACGGCTCAGTGACTATAGGAAGAATATATCATGATCTCTATTGCCTTGCTGTCTACTTTATCTTGAGAAACATCTGTTCCTGGAGTAAGGCTAACTATTGTCTCATCATTGAAGATTTCAATGCACCGCATATCAACTAAACAGAGCTTACAGCTTCAGGTAGGGGTTTCGATAGTGTTATTCAATGTACACTTACACAATCTATCGTAATACCAACACACGTTGACTTGGAACATGACTCTTCATTGCCAAACCTTGACCTCACACACTACTGTGAGGATGTCACAGATATTCAGAACCTTCTACCACTAGTGAATAATGGTCGCATTATATTTTACCTTAAGTTTCGGACACAAGGTATATGTCCAGTGTGTTAATCAAAACTCATCCCCAAGGAAGCACCAAATACCTTACAAAGCGCTCGTGATACTCAAAGTCAGTAGTAGTAAGGAACTAACGTTTACCTATTGTTTAAGTATATTAATCCAAAATTCATATGATTGATAGCCACTATAAAGTCGGCGATTGAAAGCGTTAGATATAATGGCCTAATATCCATCTGTTGATGAGAGCTATTTCATACATTTTCCACTTAAACGTGAAGTTTATATTATCTGGACTTTCGCTCTAAGATATGTAGTGGTGCTGACTTTCAACTTTATATTCAGAATCAGTTACTTCCGATATGGTGCTAGTCATTCTTAAATCATGTCACAATAAACATATATTTTAATCATTATTATTATTATCATTGTTCACAAACAGCTTGTGGGTACATAAGTGTTGTGGAGAAACCATTTCGGGTTTCCTCAGAAACGCAATGATACAAAGGTTTCAATATTGTTAGCATAATATTTGTCATATTTGAAAAATAGATAAATAAATAAAATAATAACGAGCCGGGTTCTGTGTAATTGAGAAGAATATTAATTTGACTTTAAAGAAGGAAGGCAAAAATGTGAAGAAATAGAAATGAAGGAAACACGAAATACATCAACAGTTTGTTAAGCATGTGAAGATGGCACAGGTATTCAGTGTTTGACAACGCTTTTACCAGAAACACCTTCTAATATAATTTGTACCCACCGAGAGCAATCAAAAGACAAGGTCGAGGAGATCGGAAAAGTGTATTTGGCGATTACCAATATATCGGAATTCTCTGATCTAATCTGCTTAGCGATTGCGATAGATGTTGAGCACAGCGTTACCACACGTAATGAGGTGCGGATGCATGACCGAGCGCCTTCAGCTAGATGAGTCCACTAAAACATATGGTCAGCATCCAATGTCCAAGACTTACGGAGCTATTTAGTTTGGGGACTTATTTACCGCTACAGATCACTCCCTCCTAGTGAGGCAGTGATGACCCTAAGACGTGGCCAGCCAAAAGTTTATCTTTAGACGCATTCGAAGTGTCATCGCTAGAGTTGGTTGAGGAATTACGAGTGTATGAGTCGTTTTGTACCGAAGGAAAATCGACGTGAATAGGATTTCCTTCTAAATACGCTGCTTTTAAGCGATCGATGCCGATGCTATCGTTTGTTCCGTTCTTATCGACTATATAGTACATAGATTCGCGTTGAAGAACTTTGAAAGGTCCTTCGTATGCTGATTCGAATAGTCGTCGATGTGCGTATCGACGAACGAAAACGTGTGTACTATATTGTAAGTCAGGTTGAACGAAAACATCGGTGGATTGTGGTCGTGTGGAAGCAGGTTTAACTGAACGCATTGCGTTTGTAAGCCTGTTCGTGTAGGAGATTAGATCCATGCTCATTGAAGAGGATGAAGGACCCACGAATTCTCATGGAAGTCGAAGTGTCGTTCCATAAGCGAGTTGAGCCGCAGTGTATCCAATGTCAACTTTCACTGCATTGCGGATACCTAGTAAGACGAGTGGAAAAGCTTCGGTCCACTGTGAAACGTTTGCAGCTGATAGTGAAGCTTTTAGTTGTCGGTGAAAACGTTCTACCAACCCGTTTGCTTGTGGATGGCAGGAGGTCGTTCGGAAGCGAGTGATTCCTAAAAGTGTGGTCAGACGACGGAAAAGTTCAGATTCAAACTGACGTCCGTGATCTGTAGTGATGGTTGAAGGGCAATCGAAGTTTGCTACCCATCGTTCGACGAAGGTGCGGGCCACTGTTTCAGCAGTGATGTCCTTGATAGGTACTGCTTCTGGCCAACGAGTGAAACGGTATACTCAGATTAAGAGATAAGAGTATCCATTTGAATCTGGTAAAGGTCCTACCAAATCCAAATGAACATAGTCGAAACGAGCATCGGGAGTTTTAAATGAGCCTAAGAAACATTTATTATGTCTGATGACCTTTTGGCAGCTTACACAGGAGCGTGCCCACTCCCTTACGTCTTTATTCATGCCAGGCCAGCAAAACCATTCTGCTATAAGCTTGATGGTTGCACGAACACCCGGATGAGAAAGTTTGTGCAATGTTTTGAAGACATTGCGTCGATAATGTTTCGGCACGATTGGGCGATCCCTACCCGAGGATGTGTCACAAAGTAAGGTTTCGTTACCTGTTCCCATCTGTTTGATGGGTAGTTTAAGGGTTGTAGACGATAACTCGTGCTGAAGATCAGTGTCTTCCTTTTGTAGCTCGGCGAGTTTAAGAAGGTCGATTCCTTGGAAACTGTTCAAGGAAGTCATGCAAGATAAGGCGTCTGCAACTACATTGTTTGCTCCAGAGATGTGTTGAATGTCTGAAGTAAACTGCGAAATGTAGTCCAGTTGTCGAAACTCAAGGGGAGAGTACTTGTCAGAAGGAGAGCTTAACGAGAAAGTGAGCGGTTTATGGTCAGTGAAAAGAGTGAATTCACGACCTTCGATGTAGTGTTGAAAATGCCGTACAGCACAATACATAGCTAGAGGTTCCCTACCGTATGTGTTGTACTTCGATTCGGTGTCTAGCAACCGTCTAGAGAAAAGTGCCAATGATTCCCCGCAGTTGTTAACCCATTGTTGTAAGACTCCTCCGATTGCTGGGTCGGATGCGACTACTGCAATGCTAATGGGTGCTCGGGTGTCCTGATGTGCGAGCATTGTTGCTTTAGCGATTATTTCCTTAATTGTGGAGAATGCTTTTCGTCCAAATTAATGGATTTCGCATTTCCACGAAGTTGGTCGGTAAGAGGTTTCATGAGTAAAGCGCATTTAGGTACGAATCGTCTATAGAAACTTACGAGGCCGTTAAACGTTCATTGTTGCTTGATCGTGGTCGGTTCTGTGTAATCCAAAATTGCCGCCACTTTGGTTCTAAGGGGTCGAATGCCTTGAGAATCTATAATGTGTCGTAGGAAGTTTAATAAGTCGGTTCCGAATTGGTATTTCTGAACGT